GTTGTTTTAGAATTCAAAGGGCCTTGAAAAATCCCTACAGAAAAACCACATTCTAATTTGAGCAACGTTTCCAGTTTCACGTCGACTGGAAACCATCCTGAACCAACTTTTAAAGGAAGTTAATAAGTAACAGCGGAAAACCCACGTCCTCCCCTAGGACAACCTATTTAAGCCACTCCAGGATTGGAACACAGTCCCAATTTCTGCAATGCGCCAAGGACCCAAAGATTACTTCTAACAGGTAGGATCGCTTTCTCCTAGAGATTCCAAAAAGCCAGAAGAATTTAAACTGGAGATACCGTCAAGTCTGGTATTAATTATAGCGTCCACTGTAAAGTTTGATGGGTTTTAAAGTTTCATCTCTTGTAGTGTGGAGAATAAATATAGCCTTTTGATGCAGGCAGGTAAACAGAAACCTTTAAAGAAGAGCATCATGTATTCTTTCAAACATAATGGAGCTTAATTGAACATAATTGCATGTTTGGGACATTAAATGCCCTTCAATAATTAAATGGATTGCGTAATTGTTTTGCGAATTCCAATGCGCTGACCAGATTAATTTCTGCTTTCAGATTATATTAAGTCAGCAGGTCTCAAAATGTAGTCTGGGGAATCCTGGGGGGGGGGGGGGTCCCTGAGACACTAGGTAGTCCTTGACTTACAACAGTTCATTTAGTGACCAGTGGGGCTGAGAAATGGGACTTACGTGACCATTTTTTCATAGGGAGGACCTTTGCAGCATCCCCATGTTCATGTGGTCGAAAATTCAGAGGCTGGTGCAACTGGTTCCTATTTATGACCGTTGCTGTGTCTTTGGGGGGGGGTCATGTGATTTCCCCCTTTGCAACCTGCAAAGTCAACGGATTCACTTAGCAACCAGGTTACTCACTTTTCAACCGCAGCGACTCCCTTAACAACTGCGGTAAAAGAAAAGTCGTGCAATGGGGCAAAACGCACTTAACAAATGTCTCACTCAACACCAGAAATGTTGGGCACAATTGTAGCCATAAGTCAAGGACTACCCGTATCAGGAAGCTTATGAAGTGAAATAGATATTTTCAAATTTCCCTTTCGTGTCTAATATAGTTTAAATATTGATAGATGTCAACCAGGTCAACCAACTCTTTTGGGGGGGGTGTCAGTGGTGGGATTCAAATTTTTTTACTACCAGTTCTGTGGGCGTGGCTTGGTGGGCGTGGCAGGGGAAAGATACTGTAAAATCTCCATTCCCTCCCCATTCCAGGGGAAAGTTACTGTAAAATCCCCATTTCCTCTCAGCTGGGACTCAGGAGGCAGAGAATAGATGGGGGCGGGACCAGCCAGAGGTGGTATTTACTGGCTCTCCGAACTACTCAAAATTTCCGCTACCGGTTCGCCAGAACTGTTCAGAACCTGCTGAAAAACCCACCTCTGGTGGGGGTGTCCTACATAATTTATAAGCGTCAGAGCAGAATGTTTGAGAGGTACAGTATTAGGCAAGTCATGTACAATTTGTAGAAATGTGTTGGTCTATTTTCTTGAGGACTAGCATCCTGAAGTCTATGGATAATTTGGAATGTTTTGTCAAGGGGGCGGGGTCGGAAATATGATCCTGTTACAGGTTATGGGAGTTTGTCGTCCTTTTGCAGTCTGGTGGACTTCCTGCATAATACCGCATCTTATACAAATAGCTCTATTCCAATTGGTTGGAGGGGCCAACACCCCTCCACCCCCCACCCCAAATTCCCACTCTCTGCTTTCAATGGGCATTTTCAACTTAGCTGTGGGACTCTCTGTCCCTAAAAGGCATGACTTGTTTCTTGCCTTGGTCAGCTTCAGTATGTTTAGGTTTGCCAATTCAGGCAGTGCCTTCCACATTCGGGGGATGCAATTCCTTGGAGAAATACACTCCTAATTTTCTTATAACAATGTTGGATAATATTTTGCAGATTAGGTGAAACGCGGTTCAATAACCAGTAAATGTAAGAGAGATCTTGGAGTCCTAGCGGACTTAAATATGAGCCAGTAGTGTGATGCAGCAGCTAAAAAAGCCGATTCAATCCTAGGCTGCATTAACAGAGGGATAGAATCAAGATCCTGTAAAGTACTAGTACCGCTTTATAAAGCTTTAGTAAAAACATGTTTGGAATGCTGCAATCAGTTTTGGTCGTTTAATGATATTAAAAAAAGATGTTGAGACTCTGGAAAGAGTGCAGGGAAGAGCAACATGAATGATTAGGGGACTGGAGGCTAAAACATATGAAGAACGGTTGCAGGAACTGGGTATGTTTAGTCTAGTGAAAAGGACTAAGGGGGTTATGATATTGTGATAGGGTGCAATGGTGGGTTTCAAATTTTTTTACTACCGGTTCTGTGGGTGTGGCTTAGTGGGTGTGGCATAGCTTGGTGGGCGTGGCAGGGGAAGGATACTGTAAAATCTCCATTCCCTCCCCACTCTAGGAGAAGGTTACTGCAAAATCCCCATTTCCTCCTGATCAGCTGGGACTCGGGTGGCAGAGAATAGATCGGGGTGGGGCCAGCCAGAGGTGGTATTTACCGGTTCTCCGAACTACTCAAAATTTCCACGACTGGTTCTCCAGAACTGGTCAGAACCTGCTGAAACCCACCTCTGGATAGGGGGTTATACATGATAGCAGTGTCCCAATATCTGAGGGGCTACCACAAAGAAGAGGGGGGATCGATCTATTTTCCAAAGCACCTGAAAGGCAGGAGAAGAAGCAATGGATGGAAACTAATCAAGGGGAGAAGTAACTTAGAACTGAGGAGAAATTTACTGACAGTGACAACAATTAAATCAGTGTTTAGTTTAGTTTTAGTTTTATTTGATTTATATACCGCCCTACTCCCGAAGGACTCAGGGCGGTGAACAGCCACAAGATAAAACACATAAATACAAAATTTAAAAGCAGAATAAAACCGAATTAAACAATTTGGCCGAAGACAGATTAAAACACCCCAATAATTAAGAACAGATTAAAATTTGCATGTTTAAAAAGGGAAAAAATTAGGCCAGGCCAGCCTGATGGAATAAAAAGGTCTTGAGAGCGCGACGGAAGGTGGGTAGATCCAGGATCCTCAGCATCTCCGAGGGGAGCTCATTCCAGATAGTAGGTGCCCCCACAGAGAAGGCTCTCCCCCTGGGGGCCGCCAGTCAACATTGTTCTATATTCTGGGTTTTTTTAAAAAAAAAATCCACCACAGAGAATTTGACTTTGAATTTGGTATCTCTGAATATTTTTCTGTCACGCTCTAAGAATTTGCTTGTCCTCACAGTGCAGATAAGGAAATGGGGAAGGAAGTGGGCTGGCAGAAAATTGTAATAGTGAAATTAGGAAACGTATAACCGCAGGTGACGTGAGTTGACCAAAACCACAGAAACAAACACAATTCAGCTCAAAATTTCTGTTGCTAAGTGAGCTAGCGGTTATAAGTGAGCATTGCTCCGTTTTATGACCTTTCTTGCCATGGTGGTTAAGTGAATCACTGCAGTTGTTAAGTTAGTAACACGGTTGTTAAGTGAATCTGACTTCCCCATTGACTTTGTCGGAAGGTCGCAAAAGGGGATTGTATAACCTTCAGGATGCCGCAACGGTCATAAATAGGAGTCGACTGCTATTTGAAGTTTGATTGTGTGACCACCAACAGTCATAAGGGTGAGAAACGGTCATAAGTCACTTTTTTCAATGCTGTTGTAACTTTGAACAGTCACTAAATGAGCTGTTGTAAGTCGAGGACTACCTGTATTTCAGATGAAGCTAATCAGGCGTTTTCTAATTTGAGGTCCTGTTGATTTATGGGCCATCCAGCAATGTTTGTTGCCATCACTTACACTTTGGAGATGCTAGCAAAGATTTTCTACATCCAGTATCCCTGAATGCTCCCTGAATGGAGCATTGGTGGTCCTGAAAAATGATCCATTTTTCTGGAAAAGCGTTTCCATGAATTTGGGACTATCCTAAATAGGGTAAAATCACTTTCCTTCATAATCGGAAAGACTCCAAAGAATCAGGATGGAGAAACAGTTCGCTCGCCTTGACAGAGATTAGATTAGATTAGATTAGATTAGATTAGATTAGATTAGATTAGATTAGATTAACAGAGCTGGAAGGGACCTTGTAGGTCATCTAGTCCAACCTCCCGCCCAAGCAGGAGACCCTACACCATTTCTGACAGATGCCAGTCCAGTCTCTTCTTGAAAGCCTCCAGTGATGAAGCTCCCACAACTTCTGAAGGCAACTTCTGTTCCATGGGTTGATTGTTCTCACTGCCAGAAAATTTCTCCTTATTTCTAGATTGAATCTCTCCTAGATCAGTTTCCATCCATTATTCTTTGTCTGGCCTTGGAAAATAGCTTGACCTCCCTCCTCTCTGTGGCAGCCCTTCAAATATTGGAAGACTGCTCTCCTGTCTCCCCTGGTCCTTCTCTTCACTAGACCAGCCATGCCCAGTTCCTGCAACCGTTCATCGTATGATTTAGCCTCCAGTCCCCTAATCATCCTGGTTGCTCTTCTCTGCACTTTTTCTAGAGTCTCAACATCTTTTTTATAGTGTGGTGACCAAAATTGGATGCAGTATTCTAGGTGTGGTCTTACTAAGGCTTTATAGAGTGGTAGTAGTAACTCCCTTGATCTTGATTGTATCCCTCTGTTAATGCAATTTAGGATTACATTGGCTTTTTAAGCTGCCGCTGCATACTGCTGGCTCATATTTAATTGGTTATCCACCAAGATCCTTCTCACAGTTGCTGCTATTAAGCCTGGTTTCACCCAGTCTATAGGTGTCCTTTTTCGTTTTTCTTGTCTAAGTGTAAGACTTAGCTAGCTGACACCTGGCTAGGTGGCTCAGTGGCTAAGACACTGAGCTTGTCAATCAGAAAGTTCGGCGGTTCAAATCCCTAGTATAGGTCTCTTGAGTGAGAAGGGGGTTGGACTAAATGACCTCCAAGGTCCCTTCCAACTCTGCCACTTTACTTTTCTCTACATTGACTTTCATTTTGTTAGATAGGTGCCCAGTGTTCAAGTCTATCAAGATCCATCTGGCTCTTGAGCCTATCTTGGAGGGTATTAGCTATTCTTGCCTGCTGAGACATACAATGCTTTGACATACATGGAACGGAGTGATTGACGTGAGTTGAATTAACAAGGCTCCCGCTTTAAAGTATTTACGTAATTTGCTTGCTTTAAATTCCTCCTTTTGAGTGTGTCAGCTTTCAGTGACTAATCCACCTTTGTTTATGTCAATAGGATTGTGTTCTTGAAGCACAACATAGGTTCTGTTCTTCGATGGATGGAAATGCCATTCTGGGGCCACTCAGTCGTGGTTGGCCATGTTGACTCTTATGTTGTAGCTGTTGGAATTCTATAAATAGAGGATCCCTGAATTTGAAGGTTGTCACATCTGGGCTAGCAGAGCCATTTCAGCAGTTTTGCTCAACCTTGGAAGCTTGAAGATGGGTGGACTTCAACTCCCAGAATCCCCCAGCCAGCGCTGCTGGCTGGGGGATTCTGGGAGTTGAAGTCCACCCATCTTCAAGCTACCAAGGTTGAGACACTGCACTACAGGGTACCAAGAGAGATGCAAAAAACAAGCCCTTTGCTGCCCCCTATAGGTCACCCAGATTTTGCATCCCGATTTCTCCATACACTTCCCTGATTTCCTTTCAGCCCCTGCTGGCTTGATCATAAAACGTAGAATCATAGAGTTGGAAGAGACTTTGGAGGTCTTCTAGTCCAGCCCCGTGCTCGAGCAGGAGGCCCCTATGCCATTTCAGACAAATGGTTGTCCAGTCTCCTCTTAAAAGCCTCCAGTGATGAAGCACCCACAACTTCTGGAGGCAGGTTGTTCCACTGGTTAATTGTCCTCACTGTTAGGAAGTTTCTTCTTATTTCTAGGTTGCTTCTCTCCTTGATTAGTTTCCATCCATTGCTTCTTGTCCTGCCTTCGGGTGCTTAGGAGAATAGGTTGACCCCCCTTGTCTCTGTGGCAGCCCCTCAAATATTGGAAGACTCGCTATCATGTCACCCCTAGTCTTTCTTTTCATTAAACTCGACATGCCCAATTCCTGCAAACTTTTCATGAAACTCGACATACCCAATTCCTGCAAACTTTTCATGAAACTCGACATACCCAATTCCTGCAGACTTTTCATGAAACTTGACATACCCAATTCCTGCAAACTTTTCATTAAACTCACCATGCCCAATTCCTGCAAACTTTTCATTAAACTTGACATATCCAATTCCTGCAAACTTTTCATGAAACTAGACATACCCAATTTCTGCAACTGTTCTTTATAAGTTTTAGCCTCCAGTTCCCTAATCCTCTCTGTTGCTCTTCTCTGCACTCTTTCCAGAGTCTCAGCATCTTTTTTTTTTATATTGAGACCCACCAGGATTTCTCCCTAGCAAAGAAGTATTCCTTCCAATTACGATTATGAATAATGACGACAACGGGATGTGCTAGAGCATGTTCTCTGTGATATGGAAGCAAATAAAAAGGGTTGATAATGCAGCTTCATTTACACAGCTGCTTAATTCCCAGCTGCTGTTTAACTTTCCTCAGTTACCCTGATATGTAAAATTGCGTGACGGATCCAGTGGTGAAATCCATTTTTTTTTTACTACCTGTTCTGTGGGCGTGGCTTGGTGGGTGTGGTGTGGCTTGATGGGCATGGCTTGTGGGTGTGGAGATTTTGCAGGGGAAGGGATACTGCAAAATCCCCATTCCCTCCCTACTCCTGGGGGAAGGATATCGCAAAATCTCCATTCCCACCCCACTCTGGGGCCAGCCAGAGGTGGTGTTTGCTGGTTCTCTGAACTGCTCAAAATTTCCACTACCGGTTCTCCAGAACCTGCTGGATTTCACCCGTGGACTGATCACTCACAGCTGTTTGTGACGGAGCAGCTGTAGAGATTCACAGAGACAACAATATGCAAGGAAGGAAGGGAAGGGAAGGAAGTAAAAGGAAAGAGGGAGAAAAGAAGAAAGGAGTGAGAAAAAAGGGAAAGGGGAAGGAAGGAAGGAGAAAGAAGGGAGGGAGGGAGGGAAAGAAAGGAGAAAGCCACATCAAAATTCTCCAGAAATCACTGGCTGTAACCTCAGATGTTGTGAATGGATTCTGCATATCCCTTGAAAAAAAGCAGGCACGCATAACACCCACGGTTCAACACTCTCTTCAAAAGGCAACTTTTGAAGGAACCCTTTCCAGCACGGGATCGAAAGTGATCTTAACGAGGGTAACAGGTTGCAAACGTCCCATAAAGGAGGAATCTCAACTGCCCTCTTCTGGTGTGGATTCAGAGAGGCAGGCAATTCATTCTCTCTGCTTCATTTCATTGAAATGAAGAGGGAGGGAGGGAGGGAGGGAAGGAGGAAGGGAGGGGAAAGAGTGAGGGAAGGAAGACAGAAGAGAAAAGGGAGTAAGGGAGGGAAGAGGGAAGGAAGGAAGAAGAGAAAAGAGTAAGGGGAAGGAAGGAAAGCAGGAAGGGAGGGAAGAGGAGTGGGAGGGAAGGAAGGAAGAAGGGAAAAGGGAGTAAGTGAGGGAAGAGGGAAGGAAGGAAGAAGAGAAAAGAGTAAGGGGAAGGAAGGAAAGCAGGAAGGCAATGAGGGAAGAGGGGTGGAAAGGAAAAAAGAAGAGAAAAGGGAGTAAGGGAGGGAAGAGGGAAGGAAGAAAGAAGAGAAAAGAGTAAGGGGAAGGAGGGAAGGAAGGAAAGCAGGAAGGGAGGGAAGGGGGGTGGGAGGGAAGGAAGAAGAGAAAAGCAAGTAAGGGAAGGAAGGTAGAGAAAAGGGAATAGGAAGGAAGGAAAGAAGGAAGGAGCAAAGGGCAAAGAAGTAACAATACAACTAGGAAAATGTTTGCTCCTAACAGAATAACTGTCGGAAAGTCCAACCCCTTGCTTTAGCAGGAGATTCTGTACCATTCTAGTCTTCCTTCTTTGATGACTCCAAATTCTTCAGTTCCCTCCCATCTGCAATGAATTCTAACCCTTTATCCGACCTGTGGGGTGCTTAGATCTGGCCCACAGGGCCGCCCTGGAAACAGCGAAGGAGCAGCCCACGGTGCCTCTGCCAGTGAAAATGGAGATTGGGAGGGCCACACGTTTTCGCTGGCAGATGCACCACGGAAGGCCCCGTTTTCGGCCGTGACAGCCTCCTGCAGCCCTCTGCCAGCAAAAACGGGCTCCGGGCTCTAATTTTGGTGTCCGTTTTCACTGGCAGAGGGTAGCAAAGCAAACTAAAAGCAAAGCGAAACAAAAGGAGAAATATTTCCCTGTTTGCATTTGAGCATCCAAGAAGGGACAAGAAAGGGAAAGAGGAAAGACAAAGAAAAAGGAAAGATGGGAAGAGAGCAAGGAAGGAAAAATAAGGAAAGAGAAGAATATAAGGAGAAGGGGGTCTGAGAGAAGTTCTGCCTTAGCATTTGGCCACCACAGGTGCCCCCCCAATATGAGAGATGTTGACCTGGCCACGCCCACCCTGGCCCCCCAAGGTCAAACACAACCCAGATGCGGCCCTCAATCAAATCGAGTTTGACACCCCTGCCTTATACCCACCGCCCAGAGAACAAAGCAGAGGCAGAACCAAAGGAGGTCGGGAGAAGATCCTACTTCTTGTTCCAGAGGTCTTCTTCTAACCAGCGTGTCTCTCTGTTTTGTCTCTTCTTTTTTCCTCTTCAAGACACCCAACTCCGTCCCGGTCCTTTCGCACGATGCTGCTGTTGCTCATCACCCTTTCTCTGAGCTGGAGTCAGATGCCCACGAGTGGAGAGGTGGTGGGTTCCTTTCAAGACCATTGTCCTCAGTTTTTCCTCCGAGAAACCCCACCACTTATCAGGCTCCCTCCGCGCCCTGTCCGCATTTGCCAGCGTTACCAAAACTTGTATCGTTTCGCCACTTTGTATGATAAAGACAATCGCATCCCAGTCTATTCGGCGTATGTCTATAACCCTGGGCAGGCTAAGAGACCCAAAAAATGGATGGTGGAACCTCAGGTAAGATGGACTGATTCAAGTTCTTTTCATTGAATGTAATGAATGTAAGTAATGGTGGGCTGGTGGGAGTTCGCAGGGTTTCGGGAGAACCTCTAGCTAAGATTCTGTGCAGTTCGGAGAAGCCCCAAATCCCACTCCTGGCTGGCCCCTCCCACCTCTCCCCTCCCAGGAGTCCCCACGCGGCCTGTTTTGGATGCAGGTAAGTTCAGGGTGCCCGCAGAGGCTCGGGGAGGCAAAAAAAATAGGCCTACTGGAAATTCAGGAAGGCCAAACTTCTGGAGGCCGGAAACGGGTCCAGAGGGCCTCCGGAGCCTGGGGAGGCCATTTTCGCCCTCCTAGAGGCTCAAGGAAAATTTCTGGAGCCTGGGGAGGGCAAAAACACCCACCACCATCCGTAGTGCAGGAGGCTCGCCCACCATGGCTACGCCCACCCAGCAACTGGGCAGTGAACCCCTTGCTAAAATTTTTGAAGCCCACCCCTGAATTTAGCTTATGTAGCCCCAGCGTGCTAGCTGGGGAATTCTGGGAATTGAAGTCCACAGGTCTTAAAGTTGACAAGGTTGGACATGCCCAACATCGATTTTCTACATGATAATCTGCCCCTAACCTGGTTTTTCAAGTCTCCCAGGGGTGCACATCGCCACCATAACTCAGTCCGTCCCCTTATTGCTACTCATACTCTTCTTCTCCTTCCTTCCCCCTTTCTGGTATTTTGTTTTCTCCAGAAAGTTGGGTCTTTGCAAAAGATGTTCAAAGTGATAATTTGAGCCCGATCCTTTGTGCCTCAAGTGAGAATTTTGGACTGATGTTTTTCTGATGATTTTACAAACAAAAATGTTTTGACGATCCATTGGTTAGCTTTCTTTGCCCAAGTGGGAGCTAAAGGCGTCAATCATATCTACTCCTTTAAAGTCAAAGAAATGGGGAAATAGCACATGAAATAATACGAATAAACTAAAGTGTGCTGGATTTTTATTCAAAGAGACAGCACCTGTCACATAACATCCAGACTTAACAATTGTTGATAAGAATAGCAATAGACTTGACTTATATACCACTTCACAGTGCTTCACAGCCCTCTCTAAGCAGTTTACAGAGTCAGCATGTTGCTCCCAACAATCTGGGTCCTTTTTTATTGACCTCGGAAGGGAGGATAGAAGACTGAGTCAACTTTGAGCCTGGTGAGATTCGAACTTCCAAACTGCTGAGAGCCGGCAGTCAGCAAAAGTAGCCTGGAGTACTGCATCCTAACCACTGTACCACCATGGCTGCCTTCCTTTCTCCCTCCCTCCCTCCCTCCTTACTGACAGCAAACCCTACTCCTTACTAGCACTGATGATGTTACCTAGTTGGGTCATGAAATGTCTGGAAGAAAACAAGCAAGCTCAAGAGAGCACCAAGAACCCCTTCTTTCAAGCCTGAGTTACAAATATTCTCCTTTATTAGTCTTAGCACTGTGTGAAACCACAATATGGTTGATTTGGTTGGGGGGTCAGTATCGGGTGAAATGCTCCCAATCCGGTAGCGATGGCGGTGGGTGGTTCGGAGAATCGGTAGCAGAAATCCCTGCCCCCCCACCATGCCCAGCTGAGCTGCGTGATCATCAGAGGCTTTTTTTTAACTTTTAAAAGCATTTTTTTCTTCAAAAAATGCTTTTAAAAGGCTCTGACGATCCCAGTTGAGTTGCCTGATCAGCAGCATTTCTTTTAAAAATGCTTTTAAAAGAAAACAAAAGCCTCTGACGATCAGGCAACTCAGCTGGGATCGTCAAAGCCTTTTAAAAGCATTTTTTCTACCACCTGTTCGGTCAAAGAGGTTATAGAAAAAATGCTTTTAAAAGTTAAAAAAAAAGTTGGCCACGCCCACCCACCCAGTCACATTATCCCCCATCACCACCAAGCCACACCCATAGAACCGGTAGTAACAAATTTTACATTTCACCACTGGTCAGTATGTTATGTGAATGCAGGGGTGAAATGCTCCCGGTTCGGACTGGATTCGCCCTATCCGGTAGCGATGGTGGGTAGGTTCAGAGAACCGGTAGCAAAAATCCCTGCCCCCCCCACCCCATGCCCAGCTGAGCCGCCCGATCATCAGAGGCTTTTTTTTTTTTTACTTTTAAAAGCATTTTTTCTATAACCTCTTCCGACGAAAAAATGCTTTTAAAAGTAAAAAAAAAGAAAGCATCTGATGATTGCACGGCTCAGCTGGGATTGTCAGAGGACTTTTCAAAGCTTTTTTTTCTGCAACCTCTTGGCCGAAGAGGTGGTAAAAAAAAAATGCTTTGAAAAGTCTCTGGCGATCCCAGCTGAGTTGCCTGATCGGCAGAGAGGCTTTTCAAAGCATTTTTAAAAAAGCCTCTCTGACGATCCCAGCTGAGTTGCCTGATCGTCAGAGAGGCTTTTCAAAGCATTTTTAAAAAAGCCTCTCTGACGATCCCAGCTGAGTTGCCTGATCGTCAGAGAGGCTTTTCAAAGCATTTTTTAAAAAGCCTCTCTGACGATCCCAGCTGAGTTGCCTGATCGCCAGAGAGGCTTTTCAAAGCATTTTTTAAAAAGCTTCCCTGACGATCCCAGCTGAGTTGCCTGATCGGCAGAGAGGCTTTTCAAAGCATTTTTAAAAAAGCCTCTCTGACGATCCCAGCTGAGTTGCCTGATCGTCCAGAGAGGCTTTTCAAAGCATTTTTTAAAAAAGCCTCTCTGACGATCCCAGCTGAGTTGCCTGATCGCCAGAGAGGCTTTTCAAAGCATTTTTTAAAAAAGCCTCTCTGACGATCCCAGCTGAGTTGCCTGATCGCCAGAGAGGCTTTTCAAAGCATTTTTTAAAAAGCCTCTCTGACGATCCCAGCTGAGTTGCCTGATCGGCAGAGAGGCTTTTCAAAGCATTTTTTAAAAAGCCTCTTGACGATCCCAGCTGAGTTGCCTGATCGCCAGAGAGGCTTTTCAAAGCATTTTTTAAAAAGCCTCTCTGACGATCCCAGCTGAGTTGCTGATTGTCAGAGGCTTTTCAGAGCATTAGAAAAAAAAAATGCTTTGAAAAGTTTTTTTTAAAAAAAGTTGTCCACGCCCACCCACTCACATTACCCCCCCCCGCCCATCAAGCCACGCCCTCAGAACCGGTAGTAACAAATTTTACATTTCACCCTGTGTGAACGTAACAGTTCAAGGCACGTTAGGGAAACACAGCTGTAGATTTGAAGACTGTAGTGCTGGGTGGTTTTTGGTTTCCCGTCTGATCACTTCTTTCCTTTCCTTTCCGCTGTTTGCGCTTCCTCTTTACTCCTCCGCAGCTCATCAATTCCACATTCCAACGTGAAATGGAAACGGAAGGGGACTTCCTGAATAAAAAGGGCCCAAAAGAAGCTCTGTGTGACAGCCAAGCTATCTTGAATGATTACAAGAACCTGACCGATTGCAACAGGGGCCATCTCAACCCAAATGGACACCAGCCTAACTACAGTGCCAAGTCTTCCACCTTCACCCTGACGAACATCGTCCCACAGTTCATAAAACTCAACGGCGGAGCCTGGAACAACTACGAGCAAACCACCATGCTGCAGATGACCAAAGGATGCCAGGAGACTTTTGCGCTGGTGGGCGCGGTGCCAGGAGACACCTACATAGCTGGAGGGAGGGTCAACAGGCCCAGCCATATGTGGTCTGCAGCCTGCTGCGTGATAGACAACAATCATCTTCGATCCTGGGGCATCCTTGCCAGGAATGACCAGAACGTGGTGCAAAAGTTCACTCTGGGCCAGTTGGAGGCTCAGCTCGCAGAGCTGTATAATGTAAACCGTGTCTCTCTGTTTCATCGTGATTGCCCCCGGCAATAAATTATGTCCCTCTCTCTTCCGCAAATGTGGCGGATGCCAAATTGACTTGAAGTGAATTTAATAATGGGTGCATGAAAGATGGTCATTAAAATCCAGATGTTAGGGAACGATAGGGAAGGACCCTGGAAAAACAATCAGTAAGAATGAAATAGCAAACTATGTTTATTTTCTGGCAAAGAGAATAGAATAGAATAGAATAGAATAGAATAGAATAGAATAGAATAGAATAGAATAGAATAGAATAGAATAGTATACAGGGCTGTGGAGTCGGGAGATAAATGTTCCAACTCCAACTCCGACTCCTCAGTTTTTTGTACTTCCGACTCCGACTCCAGGTACTCAAAATTTCCTCCGACTCCTTGACTCCGACTCCACAGCACTGTCAGGGCTGTGGAGTCGGGAGATAAATGTTCCGACTGCGACTCCTCAGTTTTTTGTACTTCCGACTCCGACTCCAGGTACCCAAAATTTCCTTCGACTCCGACTCCACAGCACTGATAGAATAGAATTCTTTATTGGCCAAGGAACACAAGGAATTTATTGGACACACAAGGAATTTGTCTTTGGTGCATATGCTGTCAGGAAGGAATAGAATAGAATAGAATAGAATAGAATATAGAACAGAACAGAACAGAACAGAACAGAACAGAACAGAACAGAACAGAACAGAGACAGAACAGAACAGAAGAGAACAGAGAAGAGAATTCTTTATTGGCCAAGGAACACAAGGAATTTATTGGACACACAAGGAATTTGTCTTTGGTGCATATGCTCTCAGGAAGGAAGGAATAGAATAGAACAGAACGGAACGGAATAGAATATAGAAATAGAACATAGAACATAGAACATAGAATATAGAATAGGACAGGACAGGATACGTTATTTGGCCATGTGTGAATAAACACACAAGGAATTTGTCTCCGGTGCAGAAGCTCCCTATATTTGCAAAACAACAGAGTTATCATAATCATAATAATCATACCAACAAGAGAAGGTACTATAAAAGGTAAGAAGGATAATAATAATACAGCCATACCACATGGGTAGCTATACTTAGACCTAAAACAGTACTGTGGGGATTAAGTCTTCAGCAAAGTAAATGGGAGAATAAACTCTTTCTGGTGTCTTAATTGTTTCGACCTGCGATGCCCTGTACAGCATCGTCCCAAGGGGAGGAGTTGGGACCGTTTATCTCCAGGATGCGAGGGGTCTGTAGATATTTTCTCAGCCCTCTTTCTGGCTACAGAAAGTATACAGTATACAGGTCCTCCATGAAAAGCAGGCTGGTTGCAACAGCTTTCCTTTCTGCAGTCCTAACTATCCGTTGAAGTTTTTTTTTTTTTTTAATTTGATTTATATGCCGCCCTTCTCCGGAGACTCAGGGCGGCTTAAAATGCGTTAAGCAATAGCCTTCATCCTTTTTGTATATTTATACAAAGTCAGCTTATTGCCCCCACAACTGGGTCCTCAATTTACCTACCTTAGAAAGGATAGAAAGCTGAGTCAACCTTGAGCCTGGCGAGATTCGAACCTGCAATAATTGCAGGCAGCTGGTCTTAATAACAGGGTACTTTAGACCACTGTACTACCAAGGCTCGAAGTTTTGTCTTCCTGTTTGGTTGCTGTACAAACCAGACAGATATTAAAAGTACAGATGACATGCTCAGAAGTTTCAGGCCGTGGTCCTTGACTTACAATCATTCACTTAGTGACTATTCAAAGTTAAAACCTCAGTGAATAGAATGACTTACCATAGCTCCTTGCACTTATGACTGTTGCAGTCAGGGGTGGGCTTCAAAAATTTTAGCAAGGGGTTCTCTGCCTGGTTGCTGAGTGGGCGTGGCCATGGTGGACGTGGCCTAGTGGAGGGGGCGGGGCATTTTTGCCCTCCCCAGGCTCTGGAGGCTTTTCTCGAGCTTCCCGGAGGGGGAAAACAGCCTCCCCAGGCTCCGGAGGCCCTCTGGAGGCTGGAAACAGACCTGTTTCCAGTAGGGGTAGGTTCTAATTTTTTTTACTACTGGTTCTGTGGGCGTGGCTTATTTTGTGGGTGTGGCTTGGAGGTCATGTGACTAGGTGGGCGTGGCTAGCTGGTCAGTCATTTCTGGAAGGTCCTCGCACTTACAACCAGTCCTCGCACTTACAACCCGACTCATTTGTTTGCTTTTAACACTGGTCAGCTGTAGGACGGCCCTTTGAAGCCCCGCGGCAAGAGTTTAAACAGTTTTTTTCCCTCTAGCCATCAGCTGGGACTCAGGAGGCAGCAATAAATTGGGGGTGGGACCAAATAAAAGGTAAGAATAACGTGGGTGGGGGGGAGAACCGGTTCGGTGATGTCATCGTCACTGCTACTGGCTTGGCCGGACCGGACCGGACCGGGAAGGAACCCACCACTGGTTTCCAGCCTTCCTGAACTTCTGGTAGGCCCATTTTTCGCCCTTTCCGAGCCTCTGCGCGTGCACTGCACTTACCTGCATCCAAAACAGGCCGCGTGGGAAAGGCGGGGGGCCAGCCAGGAGTGGCCGAATCTTAGCTAGAGGTTCTCCCGAACCCCTGCGAACCCACAACCTTCACAACCAGTTTCTGACCAGTAAAGTCAATGAGGGAAGCTGGATTCACTTAATGACTGCATCAGGGGTCCCCAATCCCTGGTCCATGGACTGGACACCGCATGCCAAAAACTGAGCCACACAAAAAAGAGAAGCCCCATCCGTGGGATGCAGGCAGCGCGCGTGAAACCACGTTTCCTCTGGTCCACGGAAAAACCTCTCTCCATGGAACCAGTCCCTGGTGCCCAAAAGGTTGCCTGCACGATTCATTTAACAGTAGCAATGATTTGCTTAACAAAGAGTGGTGCGGTGCCCTAGAGGTGGAGCTCACACCTCACAATCAGGAGGCTGTGAGTTCGATCCTAGGTAGAGGTAGATAATTCTCTTCTGGGCACAATGAGAATATATCTGCTGAACAAAACTCCATTAAACGCTCTGCTACCTCCATTCAGTTGCCAGACTCCACCCCGCAAGGGAATATGGGGTCGTTAAATGATGAGGATGAATGATTTGCTTAACTGGGGCAAAACAAATGGTCATAAAGTTAGACACTACTCACTTAGCAACCACTTTGGTTAGCCATGGAAAGTTGTGGTGGCTCCAGTTGTGATTGTAAGATCAGGGCAACTCAGCTGGGATTGTCAGAGACTTTTCAAAGCATTTTTTTTTCACCACCTCTTCAGCCAAGAGGTTGCAGGAAAAAATGCTTTGAAAAGCCTCTGACGATCCCAGCTGAGCCGCGGGTCATCAGAGGCTTTTTTTTTTTTTTTTTTACTTTTAAAAGCATTTTTTCGTCGGAAGAGGTTGTAGAAAAAATGCTTTTAAAAGTTTTTTTAAAAAAAGCCTCTGATGATCGGGCGGCTCAGCTGGGATCGTCAGAGGCTTTTCAAAGCCATTTTTTTCTGTAACCTCTTGGCTGAAGGGATTTTTGCTACCGGATCAGGCGATCCGGTCCGAACTGGGAGCATTTCACCCCTGGGTTGGACTATCAATCAGAATAGAGCTGAAGGGACCACAATTTCTGTTGGTATGTGAAACATTTTTTAAAGTGAATTTTGCCCCATTTTACGACCTTTCGTGCCGCCGTTGTTAAGCGAATAACTGCAGGCGTTATGTTAGTAGCACGGTTGTTAAGTGAATCTGGTTGACCCCCACTGACTTTGCTTGTCAGAAGGTCGCAAAACATGACCTGGGACACTGCAACCGTCATAAATAAGAGTCATAAAAAAGTGACTTGTGACTTTTTTCACGCTGCTGATCATTGCAGCATCCCCACGGTGACGGGATCAAAATTCAGATGTTTGGCAACTGTTTCAAGTTTATGACGGTTGAAGTATCCCGGGGTGATGTGATCCCCTTTTAAATTTTGTATGTATGTAATTTATTGTTGGCTGTTCACCGCCCTGAGTCCTTCGGGAATAGGGCGGTATACAAATCAAATCAAAGTAAAGTATTTATTTATTTATTTATTTATTTATTTATTTATTTATTTATTTATTAAATTTTTATACCGCCCCCTCTCCCGAAGGACTCAGGGCGGTGAACAGCCAGAATAAAAACACACAATATATTAAAATACATTAAAACGAAATTAAATTATCTTTGGCTTCTCCAATTTAAAACCCCTTACCCATAAAATTCCCCAATTAAAAAAATTTTTTTAACCCAGCCCGGCTTGCTGAAATAAAAAAGTCTTCAGGGCCCGGAGGAAGGTCCGGAGGTCCGGGATCAGTCGTATCCCTGGGGGCAGCTCATTCCAGAGGGCGGGTGCCCCCACAGAGAAGGCTCTTCCCCGGGGGGTCGTCAGCCGACATTGCCTGACAGACGGCACCCTGAGGAGGCCCTCTCTGTGGGAGCGTGTTGGCCGGTGGGAGGTTATCGGAGGCAGAAGGTGGTCTCGTAAATAACCGGGTCCTAAGCCATGGAGCGCTTTGAAGATGAGAACCAACACCTTGAAGCGCACTCGGAAGACCACTGGAAGCCAATGCAGCTCGCGCAGGAGAGGTGTCATGTGGGAGCGCCATGTCGCCCCCATAAGTACCCGAAAGTAAAGTTTTACGACCTTCCGACAAGCAAAGTTAAGGGGGAAGCCAGATTCACTTCATAACGGGGTTATTAACTTAATAATTGCAGCGATTCACCTATCTAGGACAGGGGTCAGCAACCTGCGGCTCTGGAGCCGCATGCAGCTCTTTGGGCCCTCTGCTGTGGCTCCCCGTCAGGTGATCCCACTACTGGCTCGCCCCGCCCCTTGCCCTCCCCTCCGAGTCACTCCTCGCCTGGCCTGAGAAGGTAACGGCGATGGCGGGGGGTGGAGAAGCAGCCAGGGCAGAGAAAGGGAGATACAGAGAGAGCGGGAGAGAGAGAGAGAGAGACAGAGAGAGATACAGAGAGGGAGGGAGGGAGGGAGATGTCAAAAGGATTTTGTGGCTCCCGGTGTTTTTTAACAACTGGTTATCTGCCTTAAGGACCGGCTGGGTAGGCGTGGCTAGGGGGGGTCATGTGACTGGTGGAAGTGAGTGACATCAAGTTGGCCACGCCCACCCAGGTTTTGTGGCTCCCGGTGTTTTCTGTGGGAAACGGGTCCAAATGGCTCCTTGAGTATTTAACGTTGCAGACCCCTGACCTAGCAGTTGCGGCAAGAAAGGTCGTAAAATGAAACAAACCTCACTTAAGGAATGTCTCGCTTAGCCACAGAAATTTCGGGCTCCATTGTGGGTCGTAAGTCAAGGACTACTCGGACCAATTCCAAGCCATGTAATTCAGGTGGGACCTCCGGAGCGGGTGACTCTCTGTAGATCTTGCAGTAAGGCAACTGCTCAGGAAGGATGCCCGTTGACTTTGGGTGAGGATAGAGCAGTTTAATAAATAAATAAATAATCAATTAAATCAATTAAACAAATAAATAAAACCTACGTGTTCCAAAATATAACTAACGTTTATGGTATCTATCATGGTTCTTGTTTCCTGGAGGTGTTTTAAGAATTCTGGAACAGCAGAGGAGTCGTTAAGGGATGCAGAAGCAAACACCGTACATGGTTACTCTAAAACGTAGAAAGGGTTCTGGGGAGACAGTGTGGCCACTCAAGATGGACAGCTGCCTCTGGAGAGGTCTGAACCAGAAAGGAACATCTGGAACCTCATTTTGACAATGTTCCTCTGGAGCACATGGGGAGCAGTTGTCTCTCAAGCACTATTTGAAGAATATGTTGGATGACGGGTGGTCAGTTGAGCAAGATTTCTAGGGGGGGGAATGGTCATCTTTCTTCCAGAGAGTCAGATGTATCTGGAGGAAAGTATGGATACGCTGGTGGGAGTATATAGTTGCTCAATGGACGGAGAAGTCTTTGAGACATCTTGGAGAAATATACGGAGGCTCCATCTTGCTGGTCGCTGAAGGAATAATAGGAGGATCATGAAGAATATAGGACAGGTCCAGAGAAGTAGTGGTCTTTAGAATAATGTTCTTGAGTCTTGAGTGGAGGAAATTCTAGAGGAACAGGATTTTCTTGAGGAGCAGGGGTCTCTGGCTGTTCTGGTGGGAGTGGGATTTCCAGGGGGATATATGGGGGCTCTAAGGGAGTAGATGATTCTGAAGATATGAATGGAGATTCTAGAGGAGCAGGAGTTTCTGGGGGTATGTATGGAGAGATGCATGGAGGGTTTATAGGAGCAGGATTTCCTGGAGATGTGTTTAGAGTTTCTAGAGGTATGCATGGAGTTTCTAGAGGAGCAGGAGTTTCTGGGGCTATATACGGAGGTTTTGGAGAAGTATGAGCTTCTGGAGGTTTGTATGGAGGTTCTAGAGGAGCAGGAGTTTCTGGAGGTGTGTATGGAGGTTCTAGAGGGGCAGGAGTTTCTGGAGGTGTGTATGGAGGTTCTAGAGGAGCAGGAGTTTCTGGAGGTCTGTATGGAGGTTCTAGAGGGGCAGGAGTTTCTGGAGGTGTGTAGGGAGGTTCTAGAGGAGCAGAAGTTTCTGGAGGCGTGTAGGGAGGTTCTAGAGGAGCAGGAGTTTCTGGAAGTGTGTATGGAGGTTCTAGATTAGCAGGAGTTTCTGGGGGTATATATGGAGGTTTTAGAGAAGCATGAGCTTCTGTGGGTGTGTATGGGGGTTCTAGAGTAGCAGGAGTTTCTGGAGGTGTGTATGGAAGTTCTAGAGTAGGATAAGTCTCTGGAGAATTGTAGGGTGCCTCAAGAGATGGAGGGATTTCCTCAGGTACATAGGGTGGTTTTAGAGTAGCCGAGGTCTCTGAAGGTATATATGGATTTTCTAGAGGAACAGAAGTCTCCGTGGGGGTATATGGAAGTTCCAGAGGAACTGTAGTCTCCTGGGGAGTATATGGTAGTTCTAGAGCAGCAGTGGTTTCCAGAAGGATGTATGGAGGTTCCACGGAGACAAATGTCTCTGGAGGGATGTACGGAGCCTCTAGATGACCAGGGGTCTCTAGAGGGATATATGGGGGTTCCAGAGTGACTTCTGCTTCTGGAGGAACATACTCGGGGGGCAAAACAGTTGTGTTTAGAAAGGGATATTGCATTGAGCTATCAACTGATTTGGGTCCCGAGTGACTTGGCTTGTCAACCGATGGAGGCTCCAGAATTAATTTTGTCTCTGTAGGAATAAAAGGAGACACTGGAGGTGAAGGAGTTGTTTCTTCTGGCACATACGGAGGTTCTAGAAGAGTGGGAACCGTTTCTTGAGGGATGAATGGCGGTTCTATGACAAGTGTATCCTTAGGGACTTCGGTGATTGAAGTTGAGCTGCTGTCCTCAGTATTATGGTCTAGTTTCTCCTTTGGGATCTCTTCGCTTCTCATCTTTCTGGAAATCCATTCCAGGAACTGCTGAACGGAGGTGTAAATTTTGGGGTACTCTACCTTGTCACAATCCTTCTCCAAGTTGGAAATTCCAACTATGTAGTATGGGGACTTCGGCAATGTTTTACACATTAAAAGCCCTCCACCGTGTCCCTGCAGGAAAAAAAAAGATGAAGGAAGGAGGTTCAACAACATTTTGACAATTGTATGGCAAGACAATCGTGCTTTTAAGAGCGAACGTTATGCTTTGAGCATTTGTTTATACAACACATTTAATCAAACGCCGCATTCACACAAAAATGGTAAATTTAATATATATTTTTAATGGCTTAGCATGTAGCTGATGAGTGGCCTAGAGGTGGAGCTCTCGCCTCACAATCAGGAGGCTGTGAGTTCGATCCTAGGTAGAGGCAGATATTTCTTTCTCTGGGCACGATGAGAATATATCTGCTGAACAAAACTCCGCATTGGTGACAGGAAGGGCATCCGGCCAGTAAATACTCAGCTCCATTCAGTTACCCAGACTCCACCCCGCAAAGAGATGATGGGGGTCATTAAAAGGAGATTATGATGATGTAGCTAACCTTGGAAAGCTTGGTAGAGTGATACCTGGTTAGTGATGGATGGGATACTACTTACACATCTCAAACTACAAAAAATATTTTGGAAGAAGGTTAAAAACAAGCCACTTTCATACTGCTGGCAAAAAATAATAATAATGCACAGATGGTGAGGCAGCAGCCCAAAAAAACTCACTTGTGGTCATAATTTGAGAACTACCTGAAGTTAAGGAGAATTCGGTCATCCGGTCATGTTATCTATCTGGCCTATCTTGCAAGGCTGATAGAAACTGAACCAAAGGAAACAGTTCTTGCTCTTCTTGTTGCCGATGGGCAACGATATTTACCTGGCAAAAGTGGTCATCCTTGTCCTTCAAACTTGCACAGAGCGTGTGCGGATTCATTCCCCCGTGGTACCACTCGCTGCCGTTGCATGTCATCGTCTCGAGAATGTTTGCTCTGGCTTCATACACTACGGCGGAGATACCTGAGGGCAAAGCACGGACTTCAGATGGATGATCGCCTCCTCTTGTTTTTTGTAGCACTTCCTTCCAAAACACACACACACATACACAGATACACAAAACCACAATCCATTTCCCAATTCAGAATCTGTAGCCTCCTTGGCACAAACTCTACTAAAAGAGAGACAGAGACAGAGAAACAGAGAGACAAAGACACACAGAGAAACAGAGAGACAGACAGAAAGAGACAGAGAGAGAGAGAGAGAGAGAGAGAGACAGAGGAAGAGAAACAAAGAGAGACAGAGAGACAGACAGGGAAACAGAGACGCAGAGAGAGAGACAGACAAAGAGACAGAGAGAGAAACACACACAGAGGAAGAGAAACAAAGAGAGACAGAGAAACAAACACACACACACACACACACACACACACACAGAGAGAGAGAGAGAGAGAGAGAGAGAGAAACAGAGAAACACAGGAAGAGAAACAAAGAGAGAGAGAGACACAGAGAGAGAGACAGACAGAGAAACAGAGAGACAGACAGACAAACACACAGAGGAAGAGAAACAAAGAGAGACAGAGAAACAGAGACACAGAAAGAGAGACAGAGAGAAAGACAGACAGACAGAGACACACACACAGAGAGGAAGAGAAACAAAGAGAGACAGAGAGACACAGAGAGAGACACACACACAGACACACGCACACACAGAGGAAGAGAAACAAAGAGACAGAGAAACAGAGAGAGACAGACAGACAGACAGACAGAGAGAGACAGAGAAACAGAGAGAGAGAGAGACGGAGAGAAAGAGAGATGCAGAGAGAATATCCTAGCATTACTTGTGAATTGGTCCTTACAGGTAGTTGTTGTGACTCCGACCCCCGAGCCCGTCTTATTGGAGGGAGAAGACTCCGAAAGTGAAGGAGAGGAGTTGGCAAGGCCTCCCTCTCCAGGACCCTCCTCTCTGGCAATGCCTCAGGTGTCTTCCGAAGGAGAAGAGATAGGCCAGGAGCCAGGCACTTCCGAGCAGCCGCAGTTAGACAGCGACGGAGATAAGTCTTGGCTGGATCCCCGACAGCGTCGGAAAGACAAGCGCGCGCAGCAGAGAAGGAGGCATGCCAGAGATTAAGCTGAGTCACTGGACCACACCTCACAGGGGATAAAAGGGGGTGTGGTGGCCATTCAGGCTTTGTGACGGACAAAACTGAAAAGCTAGCAAGTCATACTGCGTTTCTGGAACTTCGTTATATGCCTTCCTTGGATTTATTATGGACTGGACTTGACAATTCTTTGGCTTTGTGGAATTATTTTGGTTTATCCGACGGAGGAGGAAAACCTCCCTTTGTGAGTAAAGTTTTTGGCAAGCAGCTACTGGGTTGCTGCCAATGCTGTTATCTCAAAGAAATTCCTGACTGCTGGTTTTATTAACTCCTGGCTGACTGTTTGTGTGCGTGTGTGAGTCGGGGACAGAACAGTAGTCCTCGACTTACAACCATTCATTTAGCGACGGTTTGAAGTTACAACAGCACTGGAAAAAGTGACTTATGACCATTTTCCACACGTACGACCATTGCAGCATCCCCATGATCATGTAATCAAAATTAGACACTTGGCAACTGGACACTTAGTTCATATTTATGAAGGTTGCAGTATCTCTTTTGTGACCTTCTGACAACCAAAGTCAGTGGAGAAGCCAGATTCATTTAACAACTGTCTTACTACCTTAACAACTGCACTGTTTTGCTTAACAACCATGACAAAATGGGGCAAAGCTCATTGAACTGTCTCGCTTAGCAACAGAAATTTGGGGCTCAATTGTGGTCATAAGTCGAGGATGACCTGAAATCTTCTAAGGCAATGATCCCTGTTAGGAAATGGCTATTGTCTAACTAGTTGGTCAGGCAATATATAAACTATCCATACATGTTTGTCAAAAGGTATTATATTGCTTTAAGACTGTATTGCATCATCCTGTATCCTGATTGGCTAAGCTCTGTGGCCAATGCACTTAAGGGGAAGCCTGAATCATGGCTTGTGGACACTACACCATTTTATCTGCTTATTTGCTGTTACTCTCTACTTGTTCTCTCTGCATGATCACTGTTTGATCATTGCTACTTGTAGCTTTCTACTATTTATTGAATGTTTTAATACTGAACTTGTTCCTGTTTGAAACTCAAGAACTGTTTTATTGTGTAATGACAACTGGTAAGAAGACTTTCTACTTAGAATATCCCTGAATTGATATTTTAATTATCGCCTTATCTGTGTATGACTTGGATTGTTATTGGACTTTGCTTTACTTTTTTCTAAAAGTAAAAAGACTACCACAACTCAGTGTGTCAGTATATTAACTGTGGTTATTCACTCTCAGCTGCTTTCATGTGCATACTCAAGGGGTACTCTGCTCAATAACCCATAACATCAGTTATGAGCCAAGAATATCCTTAACAATCCCAAACCTTTTGGGCATCAGGGAGCTGTTCCATGGAAAACAATTCTTTGGTGAATTGGTGCGCGCTACCCAGATCCCCCATAGGTACAGACTTATAATAGTTTTTCACACTTACAATCATTGCGGCATCCCCATGGTCACATGATCAAAATTGGCAATTGACTCATATTTATGGAATTGACTCATATTTATGACTGTTGTAGTGTCCTGAGGTCACGTGATTCCCTTTTGCGACCTTCTGACAAGCAAAGTCAATGGGGAAGCCAGATTCACTGAACCAACTATCTTACTAATTTAACGACTGCAGGGATTCACTGAAGAAATTTGGCAAGAAAGGTCGTAAAATGGGGCAAAACTCACTTAACAAATGTCTCGCTTAGCAACAGAAATTTTGGCCTCAAGTGTAAGTCGTACGTCGAGGACTACCTGTATAAGAACCAATCCCATCCTATCAGAAACAGAAGTGGGTTAACAGAGTTGGAAGGGACCTTGCAGGTCATCTAGTCCAACCCTCTGCCCAAGCAGGAGATCCTACATCTGCCTCTACCTAGGATCGAACTCTGATTGTGAGGCAAGAGCTCCACCTGTAGGTCACCGGGTCTGATATAGGAAGAGAAACTGGAAGCTCCAAGATACAAATCCTGAAACTTGAGGGAAAGGTTAACTAATCTTTCCATAACCACCCCCCACAACATTGTTCAAGAACCAATGAAGCTTCTTGGCTGAGAAGTGAAACTTCTTTTTCTTCTTCTCCGCAAGGGAAAAAAATAATCCTGTTTCCTTTTGGAAAAAAAAACACCTTTGAGATTATGAACCAACCCTTTCCGGTGTCTCCCTCCATTCCGACTCCCTCACCGCTTGAGTTCCAGCCACTGACGTAACAGATGGAGAAGGCTTCAGAGTCCAAGCTGACCAGCGGCAAACAGATGGGCTGCACGTAGTCATTGAAAGTCACAGGATGGTCCAGTTCTATCAACGCAACGTCATTGATCTTTGTGGATGGGTTGTAATCCTGGTGGAAGACGATTCGTTTTATTGAGCGTATCTGGGCTATGTCCGGCAATCGAGAAAGATCTGTGGCACCCAACACGATCTTCCAAACTTTCAGAGAGCTGCAAATAAAACAAAGACACAAAGAAAAAACAGAGCATTGGATCTGTAGCACCCAAAGAAATCTCTAGAGATTCTCAGTCATCCAGGTCGTGGTTGTCCCAAAGGTGCTTTTTTCAGGAGGCAACTTGTTTTTTTTTTCTTTGAAGATGTTTTGCTTCTCATCCAAGAAGCTTCTTCAGCTCTGACTGGATGGTGGTGAATGGGAAGGATTTATACTCCTTGCAGACAGCTGGTCATTTGCATTCTTTTTAGAGTGTCGTTGAGGCCACTTGGAGGTTTGTCTGTGTCCTCAGGCTTTGCACCACTCAGGTGACCCTGAGGACACAGACAAACCTCCAAGTGTCCTCAGGTGACCCCGAGGACACAGACAAAGCTCCAAATGGCCTCAACGACCCTCTAAAAGGATGCAAATGACCAGCTGTCTGCAAGGAGTATAAATTCTTCCATTCCTCACCATCCCGTCAGAGCTGAAGAAGCTTCTTGGATGAGAAGCAAAACATCTTCGAAGAAAAAACAAGAAAGTCCAGTTGCCTCCTGAAAAAAGCACCTTTGGGATGCCCAAAGAAATCTTTCAGACCCAGCTATATCAGATTCCTAAAAATGTGGAACCTTATGCCCCTCTCCAAACAGAAAAATCTCAACCACAACATGCAACATATGAACCTCCCTGATCTGTACTCGGCCACAACGTGGTCTCCATATATTCCTGATCTTCCATTTGGAAGATCTGAGGAGGATCTTACGAGTTCTGAAATCCACACGACTGTGTTACTAATTTAACAACTGCAGTGATTCAATTAACACTGCAGAATTGCAGAACTGCAGAAAAAACCATTGCTACCAACCTGCCTTCCATTGAGGACCTGTATACTGCATGAGTCAAAAAAGAGGGCTGGGAAAATATCTACAGACCCCTCGCATCCTGGACATAAACTGTTTCAACTCCTCCCCTCAAAACGACGCTATAGAGCACTGCACACCAGAACAACTAGACACAAGGACAGTTTTTTCCCGAATGCCATCACTCTGCTAAACAAATAATTCCCTCAACACCGTCAAACTAGTTACTAAGACTGCACTACTATTAATCTTCTCATCGTTCCTATCGCCCATCTCCTCCCACTTATGACTTTATGACTGTAACCTTGTTGCTTGTATCCTTAAGATTTATATTGACTGTTTCCTAATATGATTGGATTGCTTATTTGTTCCCTATGGCTATTATTAAGTGTTGTACCTTATGATTCTTGATGAATGTATCTTTTCTTTTTATGTACACTGAGAGCGTATGCACCAAAGACAAATTCCTCATGTGTCCAATCACACTTGGCCAATAAAGAATTCTATTCTATTCTATTCTATTCTATTCTATTCTATTCTATTCTATTCTATTCTATTCCATTCCATTCCATTCCATTCCATTCCATTCCATTCCATTCTAACAAATGTGGCAAGAAAACTTGTATAATGAAGCAAAACTCGCTTAACAAGTTTCTCACTTAGCAACAGAAATTTTGGGCTCAGTTGTAGGTCGTAAGTCCAGAACCACCTGTAAACTCTTCCACCCATTTTGCACCAGCCCTCAACCTAATGTGGTGCTCAGTTCCCCCCAAAAACATTAAACATGTCAAGGAAAAACGAAGTCCAATTTCTTTTTGAAAAAAACACCTTTAGGATAAATAATCTATTATGTACCACTCTAGGCTCTGAAGGTTGGACGGATAGCTTACAAATAAAACAAGTGAAAGCAACATCCTCTCTTCTTCTTCTTTGTCACTTAATGACCCCATAATCCCTTGGGGGGTGGAGTCTGGGCAACTGAATGGAGCTGAGTATTTACTGGCCAGATGCCCTTCCTGTCACCAAGCAGATATATTCTACATTGTGCCTCTATCTGCCTCTACCTAGGATTGAACTCACAGCCTCCTGATTGTGAGGCGAGAGCGCCACCTCTAGGCCACCGCACCACTCAAAAAACATCCTCTCTGTTCCACAAATACTCAGCAAGTAGATGCTGGTTTCTTTCTTACTTTTCCTTTGCACTGAAACAGTGTGCTGCGGTGAGGATCCATCGAACATCAACTACGGCGCCATCACAAGAATGCTTTGGTCCCTTGGGAGTGTAGATCTGGATGCTGATGAGCCAAGGCCATGTTCCAGGTAAGGCATGATGGCCATCGGTCACGTCCTTCCCGCTTTGGTGTTTGGGGTGCATCCCACAGTCTGAGAAGAAGCCGAGACAGAAAAGATCAGAGGTTTAAAAAGTCTTGGTCCCACCTGATTGTGATCAACGTCAGGGTTCTGACAGATGCCCTAATTAAATCATGAGCCTCGAGCCAAGCTTCAAAAGAAATCCAGTTATTTATTTGGAGATTCATGTCGGCATGTTCCCAAGTGAAGCCAGCTCTGACCCTACGTAATTTATGCCCCAATCATGACCCTGTTTCCCCTCTCCCCCAGGGTGTCATCAATCACATTCGCCAACAGAGCAATTTTGCAGGTTGTAGAGGTCACTCCCTTCCAGCCGCTGGGGGTAACCCTGGGATATAGCCTTGAGTGAGATAAGTCTGGAATGTGCATCTGTCTTTGGCTGCCATGCTGTTTCACCTGTTTCCCATCCCCCCCCGGCCTATGGCAACTCGAAAGCAGGCCAGGGATGCTTTGCAAGTTGACAATCAGGCTGGAGCTGGTAGGAATGGCCTTTCAAGAAGTTCTCACAATGTGTGGGTGGAGAAACCGTGGAAGTGATTTGTCAGTGTTCTCTGGAGGAAGCAACATGTCTCCAAGGGCAGGACTTTTCCTTGACCCTTGATCATTGCCTCACTTCTGGACAAAAACAAAAAAGGACAGGAGCGGTCTACAGGTCTACCAGTTACTACCGGTTCGCAACAGGGCCGTGCGCTCTTCTGCACATTTTCATGACGTCAGGGTCAGTGGGCGGAGCCTCCTGCCGGTTTTACTATTGGTTCTATAGAACCGGTGCGAACCGGGGGCAACCCACCACTGGAGCGGTCCCTTCAATTTTCCTCTTGGAATTGCATAGAAATACGGGCCGCTAAGGAGGCTGCAGATTGCTGGAGAGAAGGCTGCAGAATAAACAAATAAATAAAAAAGGACCTCTCCATCCCCCCACTCCTTGGGCATCCTCACTAATAACGAGAAGAGCATCCCACTTCACCTGTGTCCCAAATTCACCCAAATTCCTCATCTCCTTTGAGAGAATTTCCTAGAGCCATTGAAATGTAAATTCCCGAGTGTCACACAGGATCAGTTTCAACACCCCATTCCTTAAATCAGAGGTAGTAGTCAGCCCGTTTGAACAGGTTCGCCCGAACCGGTAGCGGAAATCACAAATAGCCCCGCCCACCCGCCCTGGGTTCTATGCCATCCTATTTAGGCATGTTTTTGAGGCTAGGTGCATGCACGGTAGGCATGTGCACCAGTAAAGCACATGCGCGGAAGACCGGGCGCATGCATGGATGTGTGTGCATGCTCACATTTGCGAACCAGTAGGGAAAGTAAGTGAATTTTTGGGGTGAAGTGTCATCTGTACGCTGATGATACTCAGCTGTACATCTCCACCCCAGACCACCCCAACGATGCCCTTGATGTGATGTCTCGCTGCCTGGAGGCCGTGCGGGTCTGGATGGGGAGGAACAGGCTCAGACTCAACCCATCCAAGACCGAGTGGCTGTGGCTGCCAGAGTCCCGATATAGTCAGCAGGTGCCATTGCTGACTATTGGGGGTGAATCTTTGCCCCCCACAGAGAGGGCTCGCAATCTGGGTGTCCTCCTGGATGCACGGCTGTCTTTAGAAGAGCATATGACGGCCGTGGCCAGGGGGGGCTTTTATCAGGTTCGCCTGATCCGCCAGTTGCAGCCCTTTCTGGACCGGGATGCCTTGCGCACGGTCACTCATGCCCTTGTCACCTCCTGGCTGGACTATTGTAATGCTCTCTACATGGGGCTCCCCTTGAAGAGCACTCGGAGGCTCCAGCTGGTCCAGAATGCGGCCGCGCGGGTGGTTATGGGCGCAACTCGTTGTGCCCGCGTGACACCCCTCTTGCGCGAGCTGCACTGGCTCCCAGTGATCTTCCGGGTGCGATTCAAGGTATTGGTCACCACCTTTAAAGCGCTCCATGGCATAGGACCCAGGTACCTTCGAGACCGTCTTCTGCCACCAATAGCCTCCCACCGACCAGTCCGCTCCCACAGAGAGGGTCTCCTCAGGGTGCCATTGGCCAAGTTATGTCGGCTGGCGACACCCAGGGGGAGGGCCTTCTCTGTGGGAGCCCCAGCCCTGTGGAATGAACTGCCCCCGGAAATACGTAAGATCTCCGACCTCCGGGTGTTCCGCTGTGCACTGAAGACCCTGTTGTTCCGCCAGGCAGGGCTATCAATATAATAATTTTAAATTGGGGTATTTTAATTTGGGGTTTTAAATCGGCCAAATTTATTTAATTATTTTAATTTTTAATCATTGTTGTGTCCTGTGTTTTTAAATTGGCTGCACACCGCCCTGAGTCCTTCGGGAGAAGGGCGGTATAGAAATAAAATTATTCTTATTATTCTTATTCTTATTCTTATTCTTATTATTATTATTATTATTATTATTATTATTATTATTATTATTATTATACCAGCCCTGCCTTAAATGCATAACTAAATGCAACCACTATGTTCTATTCCCTGCTCAAGGCAAGAATCCTTATACCATCCTGGATAAATGGTTGTTCAATTGTTTCTTGAAAGCCTCCAGAGATGGAGCACCCACAATTTCTGGAGGCAAGTTGTTCCATTGATTAATTGTTCTTACTGTCAGGAAATTTCTTCTTGTTTACAGATTGGATCTCTTGCAGGTGTTATGGAGAATGAATGGACCCCCTCCTCCTCCGACAGCCTCTCCGTTGAGGGTCATTTTCGAGCATATAATAATTTTCCCGCTAGATTCCAGTGTTCCTTGATAAGATATGAGCTTTCTATATCTGCCCCTTTAATACAGCCTCATTGTCCAGTAGTGGCCAAAATTATGGAAACCTTTGGGGGAAAATGTATTTTTGAGGTTTGATGGCTAATAACACCACTTTTTTTTTGGAGTTTCAAGATAATCCTATTCCACTGCTGGAATGGCCTGGGAATAGCCCAGACCTTCACCCAATTGAAAATCTATGGAGCCGACTAAAGAAACTGGTTAGTCAGAAGCGACCCAGCAATAAAACCCAGTTAATAGAAGCCATCATTCAGTCTTGGTTTCATATTAGAACAGCTGCAGAACTCAAAGACTTGGTTCACTCCATGGGAAGACGTTGTAAGGCCATAATGCAGGCTAAAGGTTACCCAACTAAGTATTTACTGACATGGGGATCATTTTGGTATATCTTGTTTTTTCTATGGTGATAATTTTTCTATATCTCATTTTTTCTATGTGTCTATGTTCTATGTTTTCCTCTTTATACCGTAACTGCTATTCTAATAGCAAATCCTTCATAAAAGTTATTGCATTACATTCCTGATTAAATTATCTTTCCATTGATATATAATTTTATGGTACTACTCAGTGGTGGAATTCAACTTCTTTAACAACCGGTTCTCTGTCCTAATGATTTCTTCCAACAACCAGTTCACCAAACTGCTCAGAAATTTAACAACCGGTTCTCCCGAAGTGGTGCGAACTGGCTGAATCCCACCACTCCAAAAAAAAAAAAAAAAAAAGTGGTGTTATTAGCTTAGTTTTAAACTTTTCCCAAAAGGTTTCCACAATTTTGGCCACTACTGTATCAGTTGTACTTATTCCCAGGTAAGTTCTGAATTTTGCAATTTTAGGCCAAGTATTGCAGGGGTGAAATGCTCCCGGTTCGGACGTAGTGATGGCGGCGGTTGGTTCAGAGAACTGGTAGCAAAAATCCCTGAACCCTCCCTCCCCCCATGCCCAGCTGAGCTGCACGATCATTAGAGGCTTTTTTTTTCTTTTTTTACTTTTAAAAGCATTGTTTCTTCGGCTGATGATTGCGCAGCTCAGCTGGGATCGTCAGAGCCTTTTACCGGCATTTTCAGTTGAAGAGGTTGTAGAAAAAATGCTTTTAAAAGTTTTAAAAAAAAAAAGTTGGCCACGCCCACCCAGTCACATTACCCCTCCAAGCCACGCCCACAGAACCGGTAGTAACAAATTTTACATTTCAACCACGGAAGTGTTGTCAAGTGGACAATTGCTTTGAAGACCAGCACGGTTCCAGATGGCGAGACATGACTGTGAAAAGCCCTTATGGTAGACCCTGTCAATGGATGTCCTGGAGAACCCCCTATTCCACCTTCCCCAGGCCCCCCTCCCCTCTTACACTTCAGGTCGAAACCACGTAGCCCCAACAACGACAGGAAGACTACAACTGCTTGGATTAGATGGCCCAAGCAGGGCTTCGATCCTGGGCTACAGTCCATGGCGAAGAATCCTGCTCTCTATTGTTCAGACCAAGGTGGCAACATCAGTGGGCCTTGCTTCTGCGTTGCTAGGAGACAGGCCTGGGTTTGACCAATGGAGTTGGACTGGAATGAAGAAGTCATCCCTTAGCTAATAGTCCAGGGAGGTGGGGCTGGAGGGGCCATCAACTATGGTGGGCTTCAAAAAATTTTTACTACCAGTTCTGTGGGTGTGGCTTGGTGGGTGTGGCGGGCGAAGGATACTGTAAAATCTCCATTCCCACCCCACTCCAGAGGGAAGGTTACTGCAAAATCCCCATTTCCTCCCGATCAGCTGGGATTTGGGAGGCAGAGAATAGATGGGGGCGGGGCTATTACTACTGTTTCTCCGAACTACTCCAAATTTCCGCTACCGGTTCGCCAGAACTGGTCAGAACCTGCTGAAAGCCACCTCTGCACCAACCTTATGGATGCTTCTCATTAAAAATAGAGCTGGCATCACAGTTGGGCCCGTGGAATGTCTACAGATAGAGCTTCTGGAGGTTCAGCCAGGCCTTTTCTCTCTGAGATGGGTTCTTACCTGGAATCCCAAAGGTGCTTTTTCAAGAAGCAAGAAGGTTCTTATTTCCTGTCAGTGAGAACAATAAACCAGTGCCTCCATAAGGTGTGAATGCTGCCTCAGTGGAGGTTTTTAAGAAGAGATTGGACGGCATAGGACAGTGGTGGCAAACCTTTTACTCACCGAGTACCAAACAGGTACACGCTTCGGAACCTTCGCGTATGCACATGCTTGTTGTGGCTCCGTTACCTGAGCCTGTGTCGTCGGCAGGAGAGGACTCTGAGAGTGAAGGAGAGGAGTTGGAAAGGCCTCCCTCTCCAGGACCCTCCTCTCTGGCAATGCCTTCGGTGTCCGCCGAAAGGCAAGAGATAGGGCCGGGGCCAAGCACGTCCATGCAGCCACAGGTGGACAGTGATGAGGGAAATGAGTCTTGGCTGGATCCCCGGCAGCGTAGCAGAGATAAGCGCGCGCAACAGAAGAAAAGGCATGCCAGAGATTAAGCTGAGTCACTGGACCACACCCCACAGGGTATAAAAGGGGGTGAGGTGGCATTCAGACTCTGTGACGGACAAAACTAACTACTATCAAGTCACATTGCATCTTTGGAAACAACATTATCGGCCTTGGATTTATTTTACGAACTGGACAATTCTTGACTGTGTGTATTTTGTTTTATGACTAAAGTTCTTGGCAAGCAGCTACTGGGTTGCTGCCAAGCTTCTTATCGGAAGAATTGGTTGTCTGCCAGTTTATTTAACCCCCGGCTGTCTGTTTGTGTGCGTGTGTGAGACGGGGACAGAACAATGCTGTCTACCCTAACCTTCAGTTCCTCCCCCGTGCACTACGTGCACAACTGCACCATTTGCACATGCGCATGGCTTTTTTGTGGCTCCCCATGCGCTGCGCATGCAATTGCACCATCTGCACATGCGTACAGGTTTTGTGTGATTCCCCCCTGCGCTGTGCACGAAAATCACATGTGCTCGGTTTTCCCGCATGCAATGCATGCATGTGAATGCCATCTACACATGTGCACGCTGAGCGCAAGCACGCTTACACACATGCTCCAACCCAGGAGAGTGCCGAAGACCATCTGAGTCCCCTGAATTGCGTGCATGAACACCGGAGGCCTGAACACCAGCTGGGGTGTGCGCAGCTGCAGGTTTGTTGGGCAACAGCTCGCGTGCCTGGAAAGATGGCTCTGCGTGCCACCTCAGGCAAGCCTGCCACCTCGGGTACGCATGCCACCTCGGGCACGCGCGCCATAGGTTCGCCATCACGGGTATAGGATCTCCTGCTGGAGCAAGAGGTTGGACTAGGAGATTAGCATCAGAATAGAGCTGGAAGGGCTCATGGAGGTCTTCTAGTCCAGCCCCCTGCTTAAGCAGCAGACACTATACCATTTCAGAGAAGGGCTGTCCAGTCTCTTCTTACAAACCTCCAATGTTGCAGCCCCCACAACATCTGAAGGCAAGCTTTTCCACTGGTTAATTGTCTTCACTGTTAGGAAGTGTCTCCTCAACTCCAGGTTGCTTCTCTCCTTGATTAGTTTGCCTCCATTGTTTTCTCTCCTGACAACAGAATGTTTTGGAAAATAAATACGTGAATCTCCGACGTGCCTTCCAACTCAGTTATTCTGTTATTTTGTTATTCTGTTAACGGCCGGTACGCTCTCATAGAGAGGGGCTCCTCCGGGTGCCGTCAGCTAAACAATGTCGACTGACGGCCCCCAGGGGGAGGGCCTTCTCTGTGGGGGCACCCACTATCTGGAACAAGCTCCCCCCCAGAGATACGGAGGATCCCGGATCTGCACACTTTCCGCCGTGCTCTTAAGACCCTCCTATTCCAGCAAGCCGGCCTGGCCTAATTTTCTCCCCTGTTTTAAAATTTCTTTTAATCAAAATTTTAATCTGTTTTAAATTATTGGGATTTTTAATTGTCTCGGGCTAAATTATTTAATCTGGTTTTAATTATGTTTTTTAACTTTTGTATCTGTATTTTATTTTGTGCCTGTTCACTGCCCTGAGTCCTTCGGGAGTAGGGTGGTATATAAATCTAATAAAACTAAACTAGGTATCTAGTTTCTAGTCTAAGTATCTAGTCCTCTTGCTACCAGGATTTTCAGGATTTCTTCATGATGCACAGATAGGAAACAGGCCCCTACCTCTCTGGTGTCTGGATTTCTTGTCTGTGGATTTGTTAGACACGAAGACAATAGAACTGCAGAATTCATGCAAAATTATGGTCATAAATTGAGAACTAGCTGTAGTGCAAAACTCTTTTGTAGCTGAGCTTTCAGAACAAAAGGTAAAACCTCCTCTCAAGGACGGTAGTAACAGATGTACCATAACAGAATGACTGCTGAAAAAATTGAAGAGAATATTTTCCACAATAAAAAGTGAATAGAAATAAAAGGTAAATTCCCATCAGAGATTAAAAGAAATAAGACCACAGCCTTCAAAAACTAATAGAATACAAAATCCTTGTAGCAAAAATCCAGTGTAAATGTAAAGCAAATCAGATCTCTTTCACTCTCACCATCGACTTCCATTTGGCGAAAGCGAAAATGATTCAGAACCCCAAAATAAAGCAGTAAAAAGATGCAAAAAAAAAAATACACATTAAAATCCAGCAAAGGGTTAGCATGAATCAGCATTCAGCCAAACAATTAACAGTTGAAAATGAAAATCAAAAAGAAAAAGTAAACTTTAAAATGTGCGGGTAAAACCGAGGTGAGCTTAAAAAAAATAACAGCTGAAAGGAAAAGGTGGAGACCCCATCCTCCAACTACTCTGGTTGAAATTTTTAACCATTCCTCTTCCCGGGCAGGCACTGCACACAACTAGACACATGGACAGTTTTTTCCTGAACTCTGCTAAACAAATAATTCCCTCAACACTGTCAAACTATTTACGAAGTCTGCACTACTATCAATCTTCTCATCATTCCCACCACCCATCTCCTCCCACTTATGACTGTATGACTGTAACTTTGTTGCTTGTATCCTTACGATTTATAATGATATTGTTTCCTAATTGCTTATTTGTACCCTATGACTATCATTAAGTGTTGTACCTTATGATTCTTGATGAACGTATCTTTTCTTTTATGCACACTAAGAGCGTATGCACCAAGACAGATTCCTTGTGTGTCCAATCACACTTGGCCAATAAAAAAAAAAATCTATTCTTCTCTGGAATTGAAGAAGAGAGGGTTCAAATATAGACAATCTGTGGGCTGCTTTTTAGTTTCATGTTGTTGGCTTCCAAAACTTGAACTGCTTCCTCCATTTACGCACAGAGGCAGTTCCACGGAAATGACCTTCTAATCAAGTATATCTCAAGATACATCAAAAGAACAGTCAAGCGTTCATTTCTTCAGAAAGGTACCAGGAAATAGCCAGAAATTAAATCTTGGAGCAGAGGCCTCCATCTGTACTGTGAATCTTTTCTTTCTACACGGCTTCATGCTTGTCTACAAGTAAGAGGCTAATCAGGCCCAGCTGCATTGATGAGCCTTCTGCTGGATAAAGATAAAGCAATGTGTGATGTTTTCTTATTGGTTGTCACTGTTGCAGGACACATGCTTGACCTATGCTCTTTCAACCCTGGATATAGTCACCTTGTCAACTCTGAAGCTGACTTGACCAAAGCCATGGTGAAGCTTCAATGTTGCCACACTGGAGCTGAGGAATAGGGAGGGGGGGTGTTAGAAATAACTGGAGTTTTGTAGCCAAAACAAAATACTTTCTCTTGGGAACCAAGGTCATTCTCACACCTGGCCTGAGGAAGGGGAAGTGAGGTCACCAGGCAACCAGACAGTGACTTGATTGGACCATGTGACTGATTGTTTGGGGTTGGGGGAAAACTTTTACTTTTAATTAGGTGAAAACCGTGGGAAACTTCAGAGTCGGTTTTCACCAGATCTGTGCCAATATGATATATCCAATAAAGCTGTTCTTTGAGGAGTCCACCTGCCTCAAAGTTTTTCTTGCTAGGGGTCTATTATTTGGAACCCTGACACATCTGTTGTGCTTTTGGTTACTACAACTCGATAATCTATTAGAAGCATGTGCAAAAGCACTAGCAAAAGCCCTTAGACTCATACAGCCCTCTCTAAGTGGTTTACAGCTTATTGCCCCCAACAATCTGGGTCCTCATTTTACCAACCTCAGAAGGATGGAAGGCTGAGTCAACCTTGAGCCAGTCAGGATTAGATTACACCAGAACAGAGTTGGAAGGGACATTGGAGGATTTCTAGTCCAGCTCCCTGCTCAAGCAGGAGATTGATACATTAGTTATGGTTAATGTAGGCAAAGAGGTTTAAGCATGTAGTCCTCTTGCTACGAGGATTTTCAATACTCCTTCATGAATCAGAGAAAGGAAACAGACTCCAATATCTGGGTTTCCTGCCTATGGATTTGTCAGTCCCAGAGGCGATTGAACTGCTACAACAGAATTCATGCACACTTGGGTTGAGTCCATAGAAATGCAATGTCATGCACATTAGAAACAAGGGTCTTATCACTGCTGAGCGAGTCACATTTGGAATTTCGGAATGAAGTCTAAAGAGTTGCACATCCCTGGTTTAGAGGGCACAGACTAATATTCATTGAAGAGTGGTTAAGAAATTGGTCCTTGGTCCATCAGCAACATGGAAAAGTATGATAACAGAGCTCCAGGAAAGCAGAAATAATTTCATAGGCATCTTATTTATTTTTTTATTTCTTTATAAATAACTGAAAGCGGCAAACGTATCTAATACTCCTTCCTCCTGTTTTCCCAACAATGACATCCCCATGAGTTGAGTTGGGTTGGGCTGAGAGAGAATGATTGATGCAAAGTCATCCAGTCAGCTTTTATGCCTAAGGTGGGACTAAAACTCGTCATCTCCTGATGATTGGCCCAAAGTCACCCAGCTAGGTTTCATGCCTAAGGCAGGACTAGAATTCACTATCTCCTGTTGATTGGCCTAAAGTCACTCAGCCAGCTTTCATGCCTAAGGCAGGACTAGAACTCACAGTCTCCTGGTTTCTAGGCCAGCATCTAAACTACAACACTACACTGGCTCTCTCTATTACCTCAGTGGCCATTTTGTTGGCTTGTTGAAAAATTCTGTCTAGTCATAATACTGAAGAAGGGAGTTGGGCTTGATTACCAAAATGAGCCCTTAAAAATAGAATAATAGAGTTGGAAGGGACCCCCAGTTTAGGAAGGAAACCCTATAATACCATTTCAGGCAAATGGTTGTCCAATCTCTTCTTTTTTTTTTATTGAAAAGTTTTATAAGAAATACAAACATTTTCTCCCCGCCCCACCCTTTCCCCCTCCCCTCCCTAGACTTCCCAGAACAGGCACATAGCGTTCACAAACACAAAGCTAAGATATGCTAACAAATTATTGCATTCATATTCTCCCTAAATCTTTAACTCCTTATAACTCAAAAACTATAAACATGAACTACTTAAAAATATTTCATTCATAAGCTATTTGAATCTTCTTGTTCGGATACTTTTTTTGCATATAGTCAATCCATCTTCTCCATTCTGATAAGTATCTTTCATTTGAATGATCTTTAAGATATGATGAAATTTTTGCCATCTCTGCCAGATGCACAACTTTTAATGTCCATTCCTCAATAGTGGGTGGATCTTCCTTCTTCCAGTACTGTGCCACCAGTAACCTGGCAGCTGTTATTAAATTCAAAACCAACTTAGTCTCTATTACAGTACAATCCGTGACTATTCCCAACAAAAAAAAACTGTGGTGTAAATTTAATTTTTTCCCCTTAAAATATTTTGAATAATCCACCATATTTTTATCTAAAAAGCCTTAATTTTTTTACATGTCCACCATATATGAAAATATGTAGCATCTTCACACTCACATCGCCAACACTTGGGTTGTAAATTTGGATACATGCAGGCTAGTTTTTTTGGGTCTAAATGCCATCTATAAAACATTTTGTAAAAGTTCTCTCTTAAGAACCTTGATAGTACAGTGGTCTAAGCACCCTGTTATTAACACAGCTGCCTGCAATTTCTGCTGGTTCGAATCTCTCCAAGGCTCAAGGTTGACTCAGCCTTCCATCCTTTCTAAGGTAGGTGAAATGAGGACCCAGTTTGTGGGGGCAATAAGCTGACTTTGTATAAAATATACAAAAGTATGAAGGCTATTGCTTAACGCATTGTAAGCCGCCCTGAGTCTCCGGAGAAGGGCGGCATATAAATCAAATTAAAAAAAAAAAGTTTTGAGCTTGTGTGAATCTTACATTTCTAACCCATATCTTTTCCCATGTATCCAACATTATTGGTTCACCTATGTTTCTATCTTTCAATCTCTTCTTAAAAACTTCCTTCTAACTATAGAGTAGAGTAGAATGGACAGAGGAGGAATAATCCTGGTGCTGTGGAATTCTTTTCTATCTTTGCATGAATAATATTTCAAAGTTCAAAGTTCCACTTGAAGGACCGACTGACAAAGCGCACGGTCGTATTGCTGCTATGGACCTTCTCCCTGGCTGCCTCTTTTCTCCTGCCTGCCACTGGGGAGGTGGTAGTGAGCAGTTTCAGATGCTGCGGTCAGTTCTTATTGGTTGGAAAAGCCCCCAAACTGAAGTCAATAAATCCAGCCAGAATTTGCCAGTAGTGTAGCAACGAGTAGCAACCTGCCACAATCTATGAGCGAGACCAATGCATCCCCATATTCTCAGCATATAGCAATAGCAATAGCACTTAGTCATTATATACCGCTTCATAGTGCTTTCCAGCCCTCTCTAAAAGGTTTACAGAGTCAGCCTATTGCCCCCAACAATCTGTGTCCTCATTTTACCCACATCGGAAGGATGGAAGGCTGAGTCAACCTTGAGCCAGTCAGGATCGAACTCCTGGCAGTGGGCAGAATTAACCTACAACACTGCATTCTAACCACTGCCCCACCAGGAAGAAGAATGAGAAAGGGAATAAGAGAAGAAGGAAGGAAGATAAGGAAGGAAGGAAGGAAGGAAGGAAGGAAGGAAGGAAGGTATGGCTTGGTGGGCGTGGCAGGGCAAGAATACTGCAAAATCTCCATTCCCTCCCCACTCCAGGGGAAGGATATTGCAAAATCTCCATTCCCACCCCACTCCAGGGGAAGGTTATTGCAAAATCCCCATTCCCTCCCTATTCCAGGGGAAAGATACTGCAAAATCTCCATTTCCTCCTGATCAGCTGGGACTTGGGAGGCGGAGAATAGATGGGGGTGGGGCCAGCCAGAGGTGGTATTCGCCGGTTCTCCGAACTACTCAAAATTTCTATTACCGGTTCTCCAGAACCTGTCAGAACCTGCTGGATTTCACCCCTTCTTGCATCCAAGACTTTCTTCTCCTATAACATGGGCACAACCCATTCTTCCTTCTAGTTCATGATTCAAGTGCCTGAAAAGAATCTGGATTATAGGACTCGGCTGCAGCATTCCAGTTCTTTCTACCCTTCTCTAGAAAGCAGCACCAGTTTCAAGGTGCATTATAACAACCGCATCCTTTTTATAGCTGATCTGCAGTGGAAAAATGTTTCTGGCCGCCTGCTGAAGAAGTGGGAAGGTAAGATTCCATCACATGCATGGCCTGAAAGTCTCATCCCGACGGTGGTGATATTTTACTTGGGGGGGTGGGGAAGGGGGAAATAAAGGAGCAGCCTCAGAGGTCGATCAAGAAAAAAACATCTTAATTGTTTATATTTATGGAGTTTTGCTTTACAAACATACATTCGAGTATCAAACCAAGAAAAACTTTACAAAAACACGTATTTGAGATGGGTGGCAAAAGAAATTGAATAAAATAAATAGAGGGCGGAAGGGAGGGAGAGAAAGAGAGAGATGGATGGATGGATGGATGGATGGATGGATGGATGGATACAGAGACAGACAGATAGATTGGTAGGTAGGTAGATAGTTAGGTAGATACTGTAGGTAGATATTGTAGGTTGATAAGTAGATAGGTAGATGATGGATGGATGGATGGATGGATGGATGGATGGATGGATGGATGGATATAGAGAGAGGGGGAAGATAGGTAGGTAGGTAGGTAGATACTGTAGGTAGATACTGTAGGTAGATAGGTAGATAGGTAGATGATGGATGGATGGATACAGAGAGAGGGGGGAAGATAGATAGATAGATAGATAGATAGATAGATAGATAGATAGATAGATAGATAGATATAGATGATTGATAGATAGATAGATACAGTAGAGAGAGAGAGAAAGATACACAGAGAGAGAGAGAGAAAGAGAGAGAGAGAAAGATACAGAGAGAGAGATAGATAGATAGATAGATAGATAGATAGATAGATAGATAGATAGATAGATAGATAGATAGATAGAGATAGATGATAGATAGAGAGAGAGAGAGAAGATACAAAGAGAGAGAGATACAGAGAGATAGATGGATAGATAGATAGATAGATAGATAGATAGATAGATAGATAGATAGATAGATTTCAGAGAGAGAGAGAGAGAGAGAGAGGCAGACAGACAGACAGACAGACAGACAAACTAAAAAAAATCTAAAAATTAATGCACATTTATTTTAAAAAGACTCTTCTTATTTTCCCAGGAATATAAAAGATTGTGCATTAAGTGGTTCCCTTTGCATGGGAAGAGTTAAATGACACATATAAAGAACTAATTGGAGTTACTGGAAAATAAATAAACCTGAAGGCAGCTTTCAGAAAGAAAGTTTTCTCTTCTTTACAGGTACATTCAACATGGACACACCCTGGCTGTACCTGTATGCCACTCACAAATTCCACCAGTTCCAACGTTCGGCTTTCTTCACCACTGTGGAGTTAACTGTCGGTAAAGCTTTTGTACTCAAGGGTTTAATCCTGGAGCTGTATTGTAAAGACGACAATGCTGAGAAGGAAGGCAGAGTTGAGATCCGCACATCAACAACCACCTATCTGAGAGTTAGTTCCTTCCTCTTGGCTGCCTTGGTTGATTCCCCCTCTTTCTGTTGCAATCGTAGACTGGAGCATTTGCCGAGTAGCCACTGTGACAATATTCTGAATATAAAAATATTGGGTGAAACGCTTTAATTGCAGAGCGGTTAACGAGCCATTTCCAAAAATGATTAGAAAGGAAGTGTTTGAACTTAGTGTCGTTTCAAAGGTGCCAGTCGCAATTTGAGCAAGATGATTATTATTCCTTCCTCTCCCAGAACTCTAAGCCTACTGAAGACTGCTATATTGTAGTCTCCTTGCAAGGAACAGCTGTCTGGAGCATTTGGGGGTGATCTCAAGTCCTCTCCTAGTCCAGAGAGGAATTTGGAAAAGACAGTCTACTCGCTGTTTCTTCATTCTGCTGCAGTCGCCATTTCTTCTCCTAGAAGCCAGATTCATATGGACTTCCTTTAGCTAGTTTTAGTACCAAGAAGGAAGGATAGAATAACAAACCTTGAGAAATGAGCTGGAGATCTTCTAGCCCTTTTGTAGCAGACAGTTCATGAAGGTGGGGGTCTTTTTGAAGGGATTAAATCTAGTCTTTAAAAGGGCTGGCATTAAGGAGTATGAATCCATTCCTCCAAAAGCCAGGAATAACTTCTCCAATCTACTAACAACAACTCTTCTCTTGTCTCTTCTGTCAGTCTCAAGATAGTTTCACACATTTAAATTGTGGACTACTTCAGATTAAATGGACTTGTCTGTTATTTCTGGAGGGCAACCAGGCAGGAATTTAGCCTGTTATATTCAGAATCCAGTAAATGAGGATCCATTAAACAATTATTACACTCTATTACTGAACTGAGAAAGTGGGCAAATTAAGTTACTAGTTAACAAGCTCAACTGCATGAAGTTATCCTTAACTGATGTGTCCGGATTATTGTAAATACTAGTTACAAAGCGAAGCATCGCTTCTTGAATTCTCTTTATTTCCAAAAATGACAGAATTGAGAATACATTCTTTTGACTTATTAGGCATCCACAATCAATCGTTTTATGAAAGGGTTCCTGCACAGCCAGAATGAAATAACGTCATTGTGGAGCCAACTGATAAAGCATGAAGTTCTGCTGGAAAACAATGAACATACCAAATTTCTTCGTTTTAGACTGACATCTGCAAAGAAGGAATTTAATCTGACGGCATCTTATTGCCATTTGGAAGTGGTAAGATGATATTTGAGAGGGTGGGGGCAAAGAAGGACAGGACTGAGGGGAACTACGAAGGGACACACGCTGACTGGGGAATTCTGGAGTTGAAGTCCAGAAGTCTTAAAGTTGCCAAGTTTGGAGACATCTACTCTAGCCTTTCAGCTTTGTGTTCAATAAATTAGTATCATTCACTTTTCATTGTGCAATCAGGGGTGGGATTCAAAAATTTTAGCAACCGGTTCTCTGCCCAGTTGCTGGGTGGGCGTGGCCATGGTGGGTGTGGCCTACTTGGCCTCTTGAACCATGACGAGGGGCATTTTCACCCTCCCCAAGCTCCGGAGGCTTTTCTTGAGCCTCCGGGAGGGCGAAAACATTTTTCACCTTCCCAGAGCCTCAGCGTGGGCGCTGCACTTACCTGGCATCCAATAAGGGCCATGTGGAGACTCCTGGGATGGGCAGGGCGGGGTGGGTGGGGCCAGCCAGTCCTCACAACTACCAGTTTGGCGAACCAGATGTAAAATTAACATTCGGTTCTCCCGAACTGGTCCAAACCGGCTGGATCCCACCCCTATGTGCAATGATTCTTTTTCTCTTAGATAGCTTAGTAATGGCTTCTTGTTTTCAGCCTAGAAAATCAAACATTTCTACATCTGTTGTGTGGACAGACCACAAGAACCCACCTCTTGTCCTACGGTTCGAGGCACAGCTAGAAGAAGTGAAGAAAGAAAAAATGCTTTATCAGAAACGTGGAACTCTCCTGTTCAGGTACCTTGGTTCCCTTCTCACCTGCTCGCATCCATTTTACAGCAGGGATAGGCACAAAGCCAGCTAGGTGACCTCAAGCCAGTCACTTTCTCTCAGCTCTAAGAAGGAAGCAATGGCCTAGCATTTCTGAAGAGACTTTGCCAAGAAGTCTGCAGGGACTTGAATTATTGCCTAATTCAGACCAAAAGGTCCTGGTTTAACTGAAAAAATTAGAAACACACATACAAACATACAATGTATTTTCTTTGAACAGAATATTTGGCTGGTTCACAAATTTAAACAGCATTTAGTCATTTCAATTAAATTTACAATTTCTATATTTCCTTTTTGCCATATTTATTCCTCATCTATTTTTTAAAAAAACCAATATTACCCTTCATCCTCATCTCTAATCTTAATCAAATTCAATTTTTCCCTTCTATTCTATATTATACCCCTTCCCATTGTCATCTATTTTTATATCCATCCTCACATTGTTTAATTATGTAATTATGTAATACAGTTGTTTAATACAAATTCAACATTTTAATATAAATCAATTAGTTATAAAACTATCTTTTTTGTATATTAATCAATATGAACATGAATATTCCAATTATTTCCATGCAATCCAATTTCTTACAAATCAATTAATTATATTTACCAATAATAATAAACCAAATAATTTCTCCCATATATTCCTCCGAACCACAACTTAACCATTTCTGCTTTCAACACAATATACAATTAATAGTATCTCAATTATTACAATTCCCTAGTTAAATACAGCTTTTTTTCCTTTGTGTTTTAAAATCTTGAGCTCTCCTCCTAAATTTCCCATTGTTTGCAGTTTTTCACCTACCTTTTTTGGGGAGGAAAAATAAAAATAAAAATAAATCTCTGCCTCATTTTGTCACGCTGCACCAAAGACCCTGGTTTCGTTTCTGAAGCTTAGCTAGGGGAAAAAAAAACTGCTTTACACTGATTGCCTGTAGGGTGGCCCTTTGAAGCCCCGGGCAAGAGTTTAAACAGTTTTTTTTTCTTCTAGCCATCAGCTGGGGCTCAAGAAAAATCGGGACTTTTTTGAAACGCCGCGGGACGCGGGACAAATTGCTCAAAAGCGGGACTGTCCCGCCAAAAGCGGGACGTCTGGTCACCTTACCCTTAGTCCTTGTTTTCATTAAACTAGAAATACCCAGTTCCTGCAACCCTTCTTCATATGTTTTAGTCTCCAGTCCCCTAATCCTCTTTGTTGCCCTTCTCTGCACTCTTTCTAGAGTCTTCACATCTTTTTTATATCGTGGCGACCAAAACTGAATGCAGGATTCCAGGTGTGGCCTTACCAAGGCCTTATAAAGTGGTATTAACCCTTCACGTGATCTTGATTCTATCCCTCTGTTTATGCAGCCCAGAACTGTGTTGGCTTTTTTGGCAGCTGCTGCAACACTGCTGGCTCCTATTTAAACGGTTGTCCACTAGGACTCCAAGATCCCTCTCACAGCTACTACTGTTGAGCGAGGTATCACATATACGGTACCTGTGCATTTTGTTTTTCTTCCCTAAATATAGAACCTTACTATAGAAGGTGACTTGCAAGTGAATGATGGAGGAAAACCCTCCAGGTCTCCTCCAGGATAATGGATATTAGATGATGGGCCATTAGATCAACCAGGTTCTGCCAGGGCTTATGTGATTCTCTTAAAACCCAGGACAGCATCACCTGCTGATTCCATATAAGGCAGTTTTTTAAACGATATTTCCTTCTTTTCTTTTCTTTTTTGCAAAAACTTTTTTATTTTTTTCCCCAAACATACAAATTACATCTTTTCAGAACATAGCTGTGATCCGGTCATCAATTTGTTCAATTTTTTGTCATCTTTAACAAAATTTTATCTGTTCTATTTTGGCATAACACTTATTTCTTAATCTTAAATCACATATTCAACTAATACCATCTTTAAAAAAAAAATTAACACATATTTACTTAATCAAAACAGTTACCCTTCTATTATCCCCCTTAAATCTTAATTCAATTAATAACTCATAATTCATTTCAATACAGTTCAAACATATTTAGATTTCATGATGCTCATTAAATCTTTATTCCATAATTACTTTATCAAATTTAAATCTTATCTTTAATCTTTAAAATATAAAAATTTAACATTTAAATATAGTTCTTAGTTCAAATAATGCTATTTAATGCAATTTCCCAAATGTCCCAAATTCTATCTATTAATCCATACCATTTATATAACACCAATTAAGTAATTTTTATTTTAAAATCATCATCATATATTGTTTCAATTTTCTTTTCTTTTTTACTTAAGTAAAGAATGTTCAAATTATTACAATTGTTATACATATTTAAGCAATATCCCAATTATTGTAGCTGTCAATTTTCTAATTTAACCTTTTCTTTTATCCTTTCACTGTTAATCCCAGTGAAGGAAACGATGAACAGATGAACAGATCCTCAGCTTGACTTGGAAATTGTCTTTTCTTTAGGTTTGCTCTTTGCAACAAGGCCTGATATCCAAAACACTTTGCTGATATTTGCTGTCCCCTTCTCTGGAATTGAACGGGACAGGGGCCAAATGTCGAGAATCTGTGGGCTACTTTGTTTCCTGTAACAAAGTAGTTTCGAGTTGTTGGCTTCCAAAACTGTAACATGAACTGCTTCCTCCATTTCCTCCTCCTACTCCTCTTTCTCCTCTTCCTCCTCTTCCTCCTTCTCTCTCTCTCTCTCTCTCTCAGCAGAAAAGTTCTATTTGAAGGACCAACCAACCAATTGCACGGCCATGTTGCTGCTATGGATCTTCTCCCTGGCTGCCTCCTTTCTCCTGCCTGCAACTGGGGAGGTGGTGCACAATTTCAGTACATGCAGTGATTTCTTTTTGGATGGAACCCCCCCGCAACTGGAGCGAGAGAATACAAGCAGAATCTGCCAGATGTATAAGAACCAGTATCGATTTGCCACTTTGTATGACAGAAAGGGGCGTATCCCCGTATTCTCAGCATATAAATATCAACCTGGTAAAGGCAAAAGAATAAACAACTGGAAGATCGAACCACAGGTAAAAGTAGTTCCTATTTTGAGGCTAAGCATTCCTGAAATGGAGGTAACCTTAAAGGAACAGTCATAGGTTAGGAAATAAGGCAAGATAGTAAATTTAAGAATTATTTGTACATAATTAATTCTAGGACTCATCAGGAATTAAGCTAGGAGAATTCTGTTGGCCACATGGTCTACATTGACAAGGTCATATTTCCATTCAATTCTTTCCCCAAACAACCAAATTCAGAGATCACCCAGAACACAGTCAAGCTCAACCAACCAACCAACCAACCATTCCCAACTAAAGAATAGTTTAAAGTGAGTGTCAGGTTCTGATGTCATCTCAAATAAATTGCACTCCCAAACAATTAATCTTTGCTGAAATATTCCATTTATTGAGTACGACAGATCTAACCCTGACTTCGTCGTAGCCGATACTAACCCTCTGACCCCCAAACCCTTCCCTTTCCGTTCCCCAATTCTCATCTTCTCATTGGTCATCTTCCAAGTCAGTCTCCCCAGCTTCTGACCTCACCCCACAGGAATGTTCCCCCCATCATCCCATCTCCTAGGGGATATTATCTACAGAGAAATAAGTAGGTGAAAAGTTAAGCCTCGTCTTTTTATGGCAGCATCAGAATGCTGACAGTGAGCTTCCTAAGAGCGTCAATCTGGGGTCTCAATTTCCAGAATTCCCAGAAACTGCCCTGTTGAGTGAGAAGCTTGGAATTATTATTCAAATCTCTCTGAAAGTCACAATAGAATCACAAGGCTGGGAGGGACCTTGGAGGTCTTCTATTCCAACCCTTGCTCAAGGCAGGAGCCTTATACCATCCCAAATCAAATGGCTGTCCAGTCTAGACAAAAAGTCCCAAAGGTGTTTTTTTTTTCAGGACGCGACTGGACTTTCTTGTTTTTTCTTTGAAGACATTTCGCTTCTCATCCAAGAAGCTTCTTCAGCTCTGACTGGAGAGGAATGGAAGGATTTATATTCCTTCCTGCAGACAGCTGGTCATTTGCATCCTTTTAGAGCAGCAGTTCTCAACCTGGGGGTTGCGACCCCTTTGGGGGTCCAACGGCCATTTCACAGGGGTTGCCAAAGCCCTCTCTCGCCCCCCCCCATGCCTTCACTCACCCTCACCCTCTGCCTCTGTTGGATCACCGGTCGCCGGTTGCTTACCCCACCCACTCCCAATCTATTGCTGCCTCCTGAGTCCCAGCTGATGGCTAGAGAGAAACAAACCGTTTAAATTCTTGCCGCGGGGCTTCAAAGGGCCGCCCTACAGCTGATCAGTGTTAAAAGAAAACAAATGAGAAGACTGGTGCCTGCAAAAATAGAAAAAAACAGCCCCTTTCAGCTTCAGCATAGGTTAATTACCATAAGTTGATTTGATCAGCCTCCGGACTCTCAGCTGATTTGCTCTCAGCTGTTTTGCGGAGGGCTCTGTTGCTAGCTGCAAAGAGAGGAGCAGTTTTTTTCCCCCTAGCTATGCTGAAAAAACGAAACTGAAAGTAAAGCAGGGTCTTTGCTGCAACGTGACAAAATGAGGCAGAGAGAGATTTCTTTTTCTTTTTCCTCACCAAAAAAGGTAGGTGCAAAACTGCAAACAATGGGAAATTTAGGGCAAAAGAGGAGGTTCAAGATTTTAAAACACAAAAGAAAAAAAGCTCTATTTAACTAGGGAATTGTAATAAGATACTATTAATTGTATATTGTGTTGAAAGCAGAAATGGTTAAGTTGTGGTTTGGAGGAATATATGGGGGAAATTATTTGGTTTATTATTATTGGTAAATATAATTAATTGATTTGTAAGAAATTGGATTGCATGGAAATAATTGGAATATTCATGTTCATATTGATTGATATACAAAAAAGATAGTTATATAACTAATTGATTTATATTAAAATGTTGAATTTGTATTAAACAACTGTATTACATAATTAACCAATGTGAGGATGGATATAAAAATAGATGAAAATGGGAAGGGGTATAATATAGAAAAGAAGGGAAAAATTTAATTTGATTAAGATTAGAGATGAGGATGAAGGGTAATATTGGTTTTTTTAAAAAAATAGATGAGGAATAAATATGGCAAAAAGAAAATATAGAAATTGTAAATTTAATTGAAATGACTAAACACTGGTTAAATTTGTGAACCGGCCAAATACTCTGTTCAAAGAAAATACATTGTATGTTTGTATGTGTGTTTCTAATTATTGCTATTTATTCATATTTGTTCTCTTTTATTCTTTAAAGTTTAACAATTCATTCTTTATCTTAATATCTTTATATTTGTTTGGGGTTGGTTTTCTTCCCTTTCATCTTTTTTATTGTACAGCAATCTTTCTCCTCAAACCTACCACCTCTCTCTTTTCTTTCCTTCTTACTTTCTCTTCCCCCCCTTCTTCTCCTTCCTCCTTCCTCTTCCTTTCTCCTTCTCCTCCTCTCTTCCTCCCTCTCTTACCCTCACTCCTACTCTAATTTCCCTTTCCTTCCTTCATCCCTCTCTATTGCTGTATCCTTTTATGCATATGGACTACTCAGAGGGCTGAAAAAGTTATTTTTGACTGGTCCTCGCACTTTTGACCAGTCCTCGAACTTACGACTGTCCTCACATTTTACATTTTTGCCCTATCTTGTCACCATGGTGAAGAGAAGCAGTTGTGAAATGAGTGACACGGTTGTTAAGAATGCTACAATGGGCATGATGACCAGTCATAAGTGTGAAGACTGGTCAAAAGTGCGAGGACCTGTCAGAAATCACTTTTTTCAGCCCTCTGGGTAGTCCTTTTGTGCACATGGACTACTCAGAGGGCTGAAAAAGTTATTTTTGACTGGTCCTCGCACTTTTGACCAGTCCCCGAATTTACGACTGCCCTCACATTTTACGTTTTTTGCCCTATCTTATCACCATGGTGAAGAGAAGCAGTTGTGAAATGAGTGACATGGTTGTTAAGAATGCTGCACGGGCATAAATGTGAGGATGGTCATAAGTGTGAGGACCAGTCAAAAGTGTGAGGACCTGTCAGAAATGACTTTTTTCAGCCCTCTGAGTAGTCCCTATACACATAGCCATGGCCACCCGGTCACATGACCAGCTAGCCACGCCCACCCAGTCACATGACCTCCAAGCTACACCCACAAAATAAGCCACACCCACAGAACCGATAGTAAAAAATTTCAGAACCTACCCCTGGTTGGGGGTCACCACAACACGAGGAACTGTATTAAAGGGTCGCGGCATTAGGAAGGTTGAGAACCACTGTTTTAGAGGGTCGTTGTAGCCCTTGGAGTTTTATCTGTGTCCTCAAGGTTATCTTTGAGACAACCATGATCTGGATGACTGAGAATCTTTACAGACTTTAAATCTAGACAAAAATATTCAATGTGCAAACTGTTATGGTAGAGTATCCTACATCCCATTCCCTGGCTGATTCATAGTAGACCTTTCCCTAGGTCCAAGGTATCTGATTCAGTGTTGTGCGAATGCTAATCAGGATCATTGCTTGTCCTTTCTTATTCATAGCTTGCACTACCTGAGAATCAGCAACGAAGAAGCATGGAGTCAGAAAAGACTTGTAATATCAGCGAAGAAATCCTTAAGAAAAGCCAAGCTGTTGTGAAGGATTACAAAAACTGTGCCAATTTTGACAGAGGACATTTGCTCCCTGTGTCTCATCAAGGCGATCAGGATAGCAAAGATGCAACATTCACCTTAACTAACATCGTGCCCCAGTTTTGTCACCTCAATAAAAATAAATGGGCGGAATATGAAAACAATATGAAAAATTATACTAGAGGGTGCCTTAATACGTATGTCATTGTGGGTGTGGTGCCCGGGAATAACGTTCTCAATAGGAGAGTGAATATACCCAGTTATATCTGGGCTGCAGCTTGTTGTGTGCTTCAAAACAATCAGAGAAAATCCTGGGCAGTCCTTGCACAAAATAATGTGGATAAGGTAGACTATCATACCTTGGAGGAGCTGCAAGCACAACTTTCTAATCTCTATGGGAACAGAACTGATCTTTTCAATAATGCTTGTAATGCAACCAGTGGCCTACAAAACTGAGCTCACAGAACAAATAAAAGCAAAAGAGAAACCTAGCAACTTACTTGTTCAACAGATAGAATGAATATGGTTAATTGTAATCCTGGCTTGTTCTGTGTGATTGTATTCTTCAGGGTGGTAAAAATCCAGGCTGTTGATTAGTTTACGGTAAAGATCATTATGGAAATCCAGCAAATAAATTAATCCAGTAACCAGATTAAGGGTCTAGTGTTGAAATAGATAAAATCGTTATCTCAATTTGCAGGTTGTATAGGATTGATTTGATTGTGTTGATTATAATGTTGATTGATTTCAACACATGTACAGTATAACTTGTGAGAAAAGGAAGTGCAGTGAGAAGGAATGAGCACTGATGCTGAACAGGAGTTTTGCTTGATACAGAGAGTCCTCAATTTTTGACTGTTAAATGACTGTTCTGATGGTGCTGAAAAAAGTCACTTTCAACCAGTTCTTGCACTTAAGGACCATCGCAGTGTCAGCACAGTCAAGTCAAAATTTGGGTAATTGGAAACTGGCATGCGTTGATGATGGCTGCAAACTTCCCAGGTGGCTCCTGATAGGTAAAGTCAAAAGAGGAAGCTAATTTTGTTTAATGACCTCAGCAACACAGGTTGTAAAAGCAGATGTGACTGTCTCAATGATTGCATTGCTTAGGGACAGAGGTTATAGTTGCAATCCTGGTTGCAAGTCAAGGACTTCCTGTATAGAACTGTTAGAATTCTTTCTCAAAAGCTTTCTTAGTTCTTGCAATAAACTTACTTGTCAAAGATGCATGTCTTTGTGTGACCTTCAGTTTATCAACCTCGAAAAATGTGTCCATTCCATTTTGCACAACGTTATCAACCAATCAAGTATGGGGCAAGGAGAAGGCCTACTGCTAAATAGTTTCATTCCCCCCCCACTCCTATTTTGGCCTTGTTGATTGATTAATTGCCATTAAGCGCCATCAATTCTTTATGCACAAAGGATGGATGTTTGGTGTTGTAATTTAGGTCCAACAGTCCTGAATTCTTGAGTTCTTCACTTAAAACCCTCTGGATCCAACATGGCTTAATTCTAAATAAATGTATATAGAGTTGGGACCTTAATACATTTTGCATTCAGAGTCAAATTCCACCTTCCAAACTGATCTTGAAAAAGCAGAATCTAAACTGGAGCATGACTGGGAGGTGGTGAGCAGTTTCAGACCCTGCAGTTGGTTCTTCTTGGGTGAAAAAGCCCCCAAATTGGTGCCAATGAATCCAGCAAAAATCTGCCAGTTCTGTAACAATGAGTATCAGTTTGCCACAATATGCGACAAAGATCGGTGCAATCTCCATATTCTCAATGTATAAATATCAACCCGGTAAGGGTGAAAGAATAGAGAACTGGATGACTGACCACAGGTCAAAGGAGTTCCTATTTTGAAGTTAAACATTCATCAAATAGAGGTGGCATTTGATTTTGCACAATATTATTGATCGATTGATCAATTGATCGATCGATCGATGGATTGATTGATCGAGCCATCAATCCATCAATTGATCTATCTATCAATCAATCCATCAATCCATCAATCAATCCATCGATTGATCGATCCATCGATCGATCGATTGATCCATCCATCCATCCATCCATCCATCCATCCATCCATCCAGAGTGAATATAGCCAGTCAAATCTGGGCTGCAGCTTGTTGCTTCCAAAGCAAAAGAAAAAATCTTGGGCAGTCATTGCTGAAAATGATAAGGATAGGCAGTGGTGGGTTTCAAAATTTTTTACTACCGGTTCTGTGGGTGTGGCTTGGTGGGTGTGGCATGGCTTGGTGGGCGTGGCAGGGGAAGGACACTGTAAAATCTCCATTCCACCCCACTCCAAGGGAAGGTTACCGTAAAATCCCCATTTCCTTCTGATCAGCTGGGACTCAGGAGGCAGAGAATAGATGGGGGCGGGGCCAGTCAGAGGTGGTATTTACCGGTTCTCTGAACTACTCAAAATTTCTGCTACCGCTTCTCCAGAACTGGTCAGAACCTGCTGAAACCCACCTCTGAGGGTAGGGTAGACTGACTTAGGCTGAGGGAGCTGGAAATTAGACTTCATGAGAAATACAGGAAGAAGGAAATTAATCTTTTCAGTGGGCGCTTGTTGTACACGATTAATAATTAATAATGAAATTCTCTGTCCGTAAAACAAAGTTTACAGAACAAATAAAAGCATAGATAAACATAGCAGGTTAGTCATTCAACATATGTAAAGAATGCACTTATTATAATTCTGCTTTGATCTGTATCAACCTTCCCAAGCCTCTGACAAGGGATAGGATAGGATAGGATAGGATAGGATAGTATAGTATAGGATAGGATAGGATAGGATAGGATAGGATAGGATAGGATAGGATAGGATAGGATAGAATAGAATAGAATAGAATAGAATAGAATAGAATTTTTTATTGGCCAAGTGTGATTGGACACACAAGGAATTTGTCTTGGTGCATACAATCTCAGTGTACATAAAAGAAAAGATACGTTCATCAAGAAACATAAGGTACAACACTTAATGATAGTCATAGGGTACAATAAGCAATCAGGAAACAATATCAATATCAATAATCAAATAATCAATAATCAATTAATCAGGATAATCAAGCTTAATGTTTTGCTTTATGTCCAAACATTAAAAAGGTCATAAAATCAGGTGTGACTCGCTTAATGATTATGTTGCTTAGTGACAGAGGTTCAAGATCCAATTGTGGTTATAAGTCAAGGAGTATCTGCACATAACTACTAGAATTCTTTCTGAATAGCTTTCTTACTTCTTTCAATAAATTTTCTAATCAAAGATCTGTGTCATTGTGTGACTTTTGGGACGAGGGCCTGGAAAAGCGTGACCATTCCATTTTGCACAATATCAATCAATCAATCAATCAATCAATCAAGGTATGTGTATGCGGGGAGGAACAGGGATAAGATATATTGCTAAATTGTTCTAGTTTTTTCCCCTATTTTGGCATTGATTAATGATTGTGTTGTGGCCCGTCAGCGGCCTGTGCGGCTGGTGGCTGATTCCGACAACGAGGAAGCTGGTGTGGTGCTGTGCCAGCAGCCTGTGCAACTGGCGCTCGAGTCAGACAGTGAGGAGGCTGGAGAAGATGTGGTGCCAGAGGCGGGGATTCAGCCAGGGCCTTCAGAACCTCCAGAAGCTCCCATAAGTGAAGAGGACGAAGAGGAGGAGCCTCTTCTCGATGCACGGGTGCGCAGAGCTGCCAAAAGGCAGGAGTGGCTCCTCAGGAGGAGGGCTCCTCGAGAGTAAGGCTTGGGGCTAATTGGCCACTCCCTTAGCCTATTTAAGGAGGAACGCCGATTGCAGCAAGCTGTAGGGAACAACTTTAGTTCACTCTCCTTTGCGTCTGGATTCTCTGCAAAATCGCTTCTGGGCTTTCTGCCAACCCTAGTAAGATAGTGATTACCTTATCTTAGGGTTCTTGTAGGCTGTTAAGAAAGTTTATTAACAGCCTTAGTTTGAAAAAGACTGAGTTATTTTAGTAAATTAAGTTTCGTACAGACTTTGTGTGTGCTGCGTTCTTTGGGGTCCGTAGCTGGGGCAGAACAACTCTTTGGATTAGGGTTGAATCTGGAATTCCCTGGTTCTACTCTGACACTCAATCCAGAATATCAAACTTGTGCAATGTAGTGCCATCAGATGTCGTTGGACCCAAGATCCTATAGTCTGACACTTTCAGACACCATGGCTTTATCATGGAGGAGCTAGGGAGACTACAGCATACCTATAGCAACACATTGGAGAAAGTAGTATTCTATTGCACTAGTTTTTATTACAGATGACAGTATAGAACATAGACCATAGAATATTAGGGATGGAAGGGAACTTGAAGGAACTTGCTCAAGCTGGAGACCCTATACCCGTGATGGCAAACTTATGGCACATGTGCCACGGGTGGCACATTTAGCCATATTGGTGGGCATGCGAGCTCAGCTCTGGGCCAGCTAATTTTCAGACTTTCTGGGCTCACTGGAAATAGGGAAACAGGCTGTTAGCAAGTCGGCCATTTCCGGCCTCCAGGGGGCCTCCGGGGGGTGGGGGTGGGAGAGGCCATTTCCGCCCTCCCCAGGCTCCTAGAAAGGCTCTGGAGCAAAAAACAGGCCTTCCGGTCCCACCGGAAGCTGGCAAATGGGCCGTTTCTGGCCTCCGGAGGGCCTCGGGGTGGGGAAGGCTGTTTTTGCCCTCACCAAGCTGCTAGAAAGGTTCTGGAGCCTGGGGAGAGAGAAACACGGGCCGAAGAGGACGAAGAGGAGGAGCCTCTTCTCGATGCACGGGTGCGCAGAGCTGCCAAAAGGCAGGAGTGGCTCCTCAGGAGGAGGGCTCCTCGAGAGTAAGGCTTGGGGCTAATTGGCCACTCCCTTAGCCTATTTAAGGAGGAACACCACTTGCAGCAAGCTGTAGGGAACAACTTTACTTCACTCTCCTTCGTGTCTGGATTGCTTCTGGGCTTTCTGCCAACTCTAGTAAGACTGTGATTACCTTATCTTAGAATTCTTGTAGGCTGTTAAGACAGTTTATTAACAGCCTTTGGTTGATAAAGACTGAGTTATTTGAGTAAAATACGCTTGGTATAGAGTTTGTGTGTGCTGCGTTCTTTGGGGTCCGTAGCTGGGGTAGAACAGATTGATTAAATATCATTAAGTTGGTGTCAAAATTTAGCAAAGGAAGATGATGGCATGGACAGCTAGATCCAAAAGTCCTGAATTCTGATGAATTCATTGGATCCAACATGGATTAATTCTAAAAAATGAATCCTAGCAGTAACATTGATAAACTCAAATTCAATTGAGTATAATCTGATTATATTCAGATTACAGACTCTTCCCATCTAGAAAAGGGGGTTGTTTTGCTAACTAACATGGAGAGCTGTCGAAGTTGCCCATCATTTGTAGCAAAACCTTCCCAGCAAGCTGAATTGACGCAGACTGGTCAAGGGGGAGGACTCAGATAGAACCAGTGACTCAATAAACCCACGTCTGAAGTGAAACGGAAAGAAGGATAGGGCTGATTTAGTAGGAAGTGGTAAATGATAAAGTCAGCTGGATGGTTTTATCAGAAACATTGCAACTTCATTGCAAAACATTGCAATTGTCCTGCTGTAATTTATGCACTCTTTTTTTTGTCTTGTCTTGTTTTTTTTTTTGTTTTTTTTTTTTTGAAATGCAGCGGGTCAAAGATACCAACTCAGTTACTACTGAGTAACCCCTGTGCTTTTTGCTCACGGTTATTCAGCAAGCTTGCAATGCTTTGCTGGATGAGTGTAGTACCACTGTAGTTGCTTGCATGCTTAATAAATTGTAGGTTGTGTCTTCAAAATGATTTGGTTCATTGAATGCAAATGAGGTTTTGGCCACAACACTTAATAAGACTACTTATCATCCATCCATCCATCCATCCACCTATCCGTCTGCCTACCTAACCTTTTTCAAAAGGGCTTTTATGTCACTTCAGTTAAAATTCCAATCTAGATTGAAGGAAGATAATGGGCCCAAAGTCCCCATAGGGAACATCAGTGCCTGAAGAGTCTTGAACCCAGATATCGTTCCTCCTACACCTTCACCACTACCTTGGCTCTTGGGCTGAGAGGAAGGGATCACCCAAATCTTCCAGGGAACTTTTAGGAGTGAGAAGGGACTAGGACTTGGGCCATCCCTTTCTTAACCCAGCATCTTCACCACTATCCTATCTCAGCTCTTGGGCTGAGAGAGAGAGAGAGAGAGAGAGAGAGAGTG